GTTTTAAGGCCAAATACACAACAGACACAATATGCAGAGGATGTTCAGTTTGGAGAAACCTGCATTAAAGAAATTTAGGCCATTCCAGTGCAACAACCAGCGACCACTTGCATCAGGAAAGTTAGTTCTAACCTACAGTGAGGTATTAGGAAATCCAAATTCCAAGTGCTTTTTATAATTTAGCTCCCTGGTAAAACACCACCCACCCAGAGGCTTGAGAACTGGCTGCTTGGGAGGTGCAGGGTAGAGAAGAGAGGCTGTTTCTGGCATTACTCCTTGGTGGCAGGATGAGAACCACAGGCTGAACTGTAAGAAACATCTTGAAGACTGGAATTTTGTGCTGAAGGACATATGTTTTTGCAGGATGGGGATGATCAAGAAGAACACCTCACAGGAATGCTGTGCCCTCCTCATCCCTGTCAACCCAACCAGTCTGCAGAATTAAATGCAAGGTTAGATCCCAACACCTCAGGAAGAACACAACTACAGACATCCCAAATCACCACCAGTCTAACTTAAAATAGATCAAGGACTTGCCCCTCTGAGATAGTGTGGCCAGATCCACCAGAGATACTACTTTAAAAGTAACCTTCTATCCCTAATTTGTATCTGGACACCAAGGCTCAGAGAACACACAGACCACAGGGCTGGGGAGCAGCAACAAGCCTGGATGCTCCTGAAATCCTGCCTGCCTGAGACTGCAGGAGACACAGGGCTGGGAGAAACACTCTTGTTCCAAGACTCAGTCCACAAACACTGCCTAAGTTCAGCTTGCAAAACTAAAAGAGCAGCTGGGCACACACAAGCACAGCTCCAGTACTGGAGCTCAACAAAAGGCACCTCAGTGAACCTCACTAGGTCACTGACAGGAAAACTTTTTCCTCCAAAAGAAGTTTTCCACACAACTTTTGTGATTTGGCCCTGAATCCATGATGCAGATGTTGATGGCTGGAAACAGAAGCTGAGCAGAGGGAAATGCAGACTTTGGGAACAATGGGTCAGCTTGGCTGCTGGCAGTTCAGAAGGAGAAAATGAGATGCATTAAAAACTTCTTTCTGGTCAATCTTTATTTTACACATTTGCACCACAGCAGGGAAACCAAGTTACATAGACTGTCCTGACTTGTCTCTACCTTGCTTCTCTTCAAATACTGTTTGCTTTTCTTTTAATAAAGTTTAAAAAAATACTGAAAAAAAAATCCATTTTTACATCTGAACAGGAACTGAGGAATAGGATATTTACAGGTCACTAAAACCCCAAGAATTGGACCTTGCTGTACACAGAAAAGTATTTTTTAGTTCTTCTGGAGGTCATTTACTAAATGAATTCAAAGCTACATTGTACAAGGTGCCCTAAAGCTGCTTAATGACACAAAAGGATCTAGAATTAATTATTAATAGTTCCTAAAGGGCAAGGGAAGCTATTTAGACCCATACTCTGTTTTAAGAGCAGGTACCAGCTCCACTGGCTACAGGATGAAGTGCTTGTGATGATGTGGAGGTTGGACTCTAATACACAGAGAGCAGAACACTGAGTGAAATCCCACAGGGAAACATTTATTTAGAATTGTCCTTTCTAGAGGATTGCTGCAGTCAAAACACAAATGGGTTCTTGAGCCAGTCAGCCTGAAAGGAGTGACTCTTTTCTCAGCCACTTTCTTCCTACACCACTCAACACCTGAGTATTGATATTTTCCTACATCCTGTTCCAGCCACTTGGGAGCAGAGATCATGTGCAGTTCTCACTGGATCACTGCTATATCCAGGCAAGACACTACAAAGGGAAAATGCACAGCTTCCCAATATTGCCAAGGAAAAGTGATTAATCAGCCCAAACGTATTGTATCCAGCAGCTACAAAAAAGAAGCCAAATTAATTCAATTTAGAACGTTTTACAGCATATCAGCCCCAGGGAACACAAAGAAACATTGGTCAAGTGTCTCTGGACAGCACCACCTCAGCTTTCATGAAACATTGAGGCTACTGACACTCCACACAAGGTCACAGTTTCAGTGAGTCCCACTATATTCAAACCTCACTGCACCTCCCACTCCAGCAGACCACAGCTCCTCACTCTGTACACGGGTGAAAAATGGGGATGTGCTCTATGAGTGAAGCAGAGATCATAACACAGGAGCTATAAAACATCTTCTTTAAAGTGACAGCAATCTGTTAGCTAGCATGACAGGTCAAATTGAAGGAGACAAACCAAGTAGGCTAAAGGAAGAAAGATTTCCTTCCCTCTCCTTAATAGCTAAAGAACTCCAGTTCTCAGAGCTCAATAGAGCCTACAATACCCAGTATTTCCTTCAAATTGGGCAGTTTTCAAACAAAGAACAAAATCCCCTCCCTTCTCATCAATTTGATTGTCAGTGGCTCAACTGCTTTTCTCTAAGAGGAACACACAGTAAGGAAAAAAGACAACACAAAAAAATCTTCTAGAGGACTTGCACCAGATGTGCACACTGCAGTGATGAGGGCATGGCCTTTCACTGCCACAAGGAATGCTACAGTGCTCAAGGACACATGGTGGATGCACACTCATGCCAGAGAAGAGTCCACTCAGCTTAGAAAAAACACATCTTCCACACTACAAGCTCCAGACAAAATGCTGCAATGCAGCAAATTTTTACAACATGCTCTCCCAGGGCATGCCAGCATGGAAATCCAGGAACAGGGCACTGAGCTGGAGGGAAACACTGAACAATGCACTGCACACATCACAGCACGCCCAGTTAGACGACAGCATGAAAGAGCATCTTAATAGGACAGCATGTGGCTTCTTCAACTCCAACTGCTCCAGTCTGAGCAGGCAGCAGCACTGTTCCACATGACCCCATTATGTCTTGCTTTCTTTTAGTATGTCTCTTGATGAACCATCAAGGAAAACATTTTCCAGCCCGAAGAATGCAAGAGTCTGGCAGTTGCACTGCAAGGAGGCTTCCTCTGGAAGACAGCCTGCTGGGCAGCCCCGGCAGGAAGGAGGAGTGCAGCAGTGCCATGTGCATGTCAGCATCCCCAGGGATTTATTGGGGCATAACCTGCATTACAAGTGAAGCCTGAACCAATCTCATTTTTGTCTGCAGAGGGGACTGAGTGCTCGGCTGCAGCAGCATATGGGAAAGCATTCAAAGCATTTATTGCCATTGCAGCAGAGCTGCTGTTCCAGGACTCCTGTCACTCTGCTGCTGGGTACTGCTGGCCATTGCTTCAGCTCCTCACTTCAGTGAAAGCAGCGACAGGGAAGCAAAGCTGCACATTCCTAAACGATCTGTAATCCACAACAGCTCCTCTCTTCCCTCCCTGTGAGAGGCAGAGCTTCCTACCAGATCAGCAGCCATCAGCACGTGAAAGGCAAGCACTGATTATCCTGCCCGGGGAGCTCCGAGCTGCTGCACTCCACTAGCCCTGGAGTCATGCAATGCCAGTCAGGCAGCTGTGGGTTTGCCTGGGAAGGAGGGGAGGGAGCAGTCCTGTCTTTGATGCTTCGCAGTGCAGCACTTGCTGTGCTGGAGAGAAAGAAGCACAACTGCAGCCATCCCCTCCACCCTCCAACTTCCCAGCTGCCATCCCATCCATCAAGACAGACGTTCTGTCCTGATCCAAGGAATTGCACCAGAGAAAATTCATTTTGGAAATGGCCACAAGAAGAATCTTTTGGGTTTTGACTTGTCCATGACTGATATTCCTTCCTAAAAACGGCTCAGGTCTGACCATTTCCTGCTGCTTGGCATCCTGTGTAAAACACCAGCAGAAGCTGGTTGTGGAGCTGACTGCTGAAGCTCAGTGCTGAACTTGGAAAAAAACTCTTGCAAAAAAATGGACTTCCAGAATACTGCTGTGGCCTTTCATGCCAAGACAAAAAGAAATGACCCATTTTCTTGGCCTTTGACTGGTGAGGCAGGGACTTGGCAGATAAACCTACACCATATGCAACTTTAGCAAAAAAACTGCATATAAAAAAAGAAAAGAAACCTGAGACTAAGGTAACAGCACTTGCCAAATTGTCAGCTCCACTGATGCTGAGGTATGGAATAGGCAGCTGTTTGGAAGCAGCTCAGCATTCCCTGGGATCACAGCACAGCCCTCGTGGTTCTGGGTGAAATGCCACATCTATGACAATTTCACATCTCATTCACAAAAGGATTTACAGGCTCTAGAATAGCATTGTCCAGATGCAATCTGCTCCTGACATCCCTTACATACCTCACTGCCAACACACTTCAAGTCTTCAGTGGGCTTCTCTGAAGAAACTTTACAGCCTGTTTGAGCAGCCCTCTGGATGCAGGTTGGATGCAGGGACAGAGCTGCAGAGGATGAATTTTTCAGGTATTGCATTTAAATGTAAGAGCTGAGACTGCCAGTGTTTGTTTATGGTCCAATTTCTCACACTTCAGGCTAAATATGTAGGTTTCTTCCTCCAGAAGGCCTAAAGGCTCATAGGTCACCAAACAGCCTTTCCAGTGGTACAGGATCTCTTCTCACTAAAACTGTGAGGCAATGCAAGGCAATGACAGCAAGGTCAAACCATCACTGCTGTGATTACTGTGAAGTTACAGCTGAGGAGGAAAACAGAAGAGGATTCTGCAGCCAGAGACAAATGCTCTTCTTCTTGTGCTTTATCTGAAGAGAAAGCAGTTCCAGGTATCAAAGCAGGTAGACTTGTTTCTACCACCTCCATGGTGCATAGAACCAACACCTGGGAAAAGAAGTGGCAATGGGGGAAAGGGATGCTGCTCCTCAAACAGCAAGGCTTGGTACAGACAGCTCACCAAGAGCTCCACAATCCCTGCTCAGGAGTGAGGAAGTGGTTCAAGATTCTGGAGGAAATCCTCCTTCTCAGCTTGAAGAATAAAATAAACCCAGTTCCTGAACGAGTCTGTAAGCAATGCTGGCACATCCAGAGCTCTGATGAAGGCTCTCCCTGACACCCTGGCAGAAGCACTTGGCTCCACAGCACCAATGTCAATGTCTCTGCATGAATATTAAGGCTTCAGTGGGTCAGTGACTTACAGATGATTTATTTTTGTTAAAGCTAATCCTCATTCCACCACTGAGCCACTTCCATCCTCCCCCAGATGAGCACCCATTTTCACTACTACAGCTTTGGACAACTGCCCTACTGACAACCCCAGGGACTACAGCGAAAACACATGTGGCATTTTGGAATGTGTCTGTAAAGACTCCACTGCAAATCTGCAGCTAACAGTCAAGGATTCCATATTCCCCTGCATCAAGGTTCTGGTCATAATCTTCTACTCTCCTGACAAAAAAAGAAAAAAAAAAAAAAGGACTGGGAGTTACTGTTTTTGGTGGCAATACTACTTTGACCAGTTCAGCTCACCTCAAACAGCAGTGTTATTAATCCTACACAGCCAGAGAGGTACAAGTAGCCAGCCAGAGAGGCCCAGTAACTCAGGGTAACTGTGAACCAGAGATTTATGCTGCAGTAAAATGGCTAGACAGATTTCCACTGGAGAGTCTGGTACTGTTTATACTGTGCCAGAAAGGAGTGACTTTTGAAATACCTTGAAAATATTTTATGAAGCAAACCAATGTGCTCTGGGTCACAGCTTGAAAGTAAACATTTAGGCAGACCCCTAAAAAGCAAGCATCAGTCTTACACCTCTTCTGTACTTCTTGTCAGGTAGGGGTGAGTCAAGAGCAACTCCAGGGACAGTGGACAACGTACATAAATACTTATTGCACTATGGGCTTAGTGCTTTAATGGAGAATAGTCACTCATTTCCTGTATAGCAACACATCTAAAAACCTGACACATTCAGGTGGACACCTGCAGGGATAAGACAAGATACTTATCACCTTTCACACTTGCATGAGCAGTGGCAGAAGTCATCTGATCCAATACCCGTTCAGTCTCTCAAATAACTGCAGTTGTTCCTATCCATTTGTTTTGCAATGTTCCATCCAAGCCAAAAGGAGAGTTTATAAAAAGGAAAAAAAAATACTTACATGTCTTTATCTTCTTTTCCCACCTTCTGACAGGCTTTCCAAGTCCCAGCATTCATGTTACAAAGCAAGTGTGTGTGTGTGTATATATATATGAGCATTATATAAAATATATTCTTTACATACACACTGAAGATCCCTCTTCACATTAGTATTACACATTCTGAGGAACACAACAATTCAGAATAAAGAACCAATCCAGAAAAGGGGGGAAAAAAAGCTACCCAAAATCCCTAGGAAAGCTTCACGCTCCTTGCAGGTACCAGGAGATCCCATTTTCTTATGATCAAAGGAATAGTTATATTTCTGCACTGCTTTGCTCTCCCTAGACACACCCCACTCTGCAGTTTCAGTGGTGGGGAGTGCAAGTTGCTCCCTTTCCACTGAGAGTAATATTAATAAATTAAAAAAGTTTCTCTGAAAGTGCTGCCTTAGTCCAGTCCATCACGCTGTGCTTTCCCATTCGCCCTGAGGCTCTGCTGAACCATTCACCACTTTCTTGACCTTCTTCATGCCCTCCATTACTCCTGAAGTCGTCACCCTAGAAGAGAAGGGAGAAGCATCAGACATCAGGCCTTGAACTGTAAAATCCTTTTCAGCAACAGCTCACACCCATCAAACAACACTTCTCACATCTCTTGACCCACACTGAGCAGTCCATGTCTGATCTCTTGTACCGCCCTGACACAGCACAGATGGGAGTTGGAAGCACAGCCACTGTCCTTGAACACCTCAAGGCCCTTCCCATCTATCACTAAACTAAAGCAGCAAGTAATATTGGTTCATACTTCAAAAAAGGTAACAGGGGTGGTAAAAGAGTTAAACCAGGTGTTTATTTGCTAAATTCGAGCAGTTCACTTTAAAAACCCCATTTACTATGCAGCTGACCACCCTTACTTCTGTGACTTTCTTCTGCATTTTAATAGGTACAGCACATTACACAAATACACAGGGGACAGTGCCCCAGATGAACCTTATTAGCTTAATGCACACCAGCTCCTCTTAATAGCAAAATGAGCAGCAACAAAAAAGAAAGAAGTCATCCTTTTATACCATCCAAGTCTGGATTTGTCATGGCAATCTGACCATTGAAGTACAAAGCCTCACAATACCATTCAATATGAGGCAGACTGAACTGTTTATCCAGGCAGAACAGCACCATTCCTCTTGGAACTGCCTTGGCTCTCCAACAGCTCTTCAGCCCAGCAGCTTTTCTCTACTGCTACACCAAACAGGCAATCTGGATGCACAACACATTTCCTTTATTCTTTTGCACAGCGTGATTCTTATTCCATACAGGTATTTTTTTTCCCCACAAACATGCTACAAAGGTTGTTTTGGATGCTGAAGGTAAGAGTGCCAACAGCTCAGTGCATTCCCAAGGGATGCCTGGAAGCACACGCAGACCTGTCCTGCTCAAAGCTGCCCCTGTTGCTCTGTGAGCACTTTCACCTGCTGTTTACCATGTCAGAGTACTTTATTTGATCAGAGCTGCTAACAACATCTCCTCAGCATCACCCCAAGAGGAGAAGTCATCTTCAGGTAACACTCCTCTTTTCCCTTAGTTCCACGTTAGATCCCAGCTTCTGTTCATGAACTGTAAAAATAATTTGCTCAGCCTGCTGTGTTCAGTGACATTCCAGCAGTGGCCATACTGGGATCATCACTGGTTCTCACTTTAGAGTGGGCCTAGATGAGCTTGGGTTAATAGGAAAGGGTCACAAGAGTACAGATCAAATAACTTTTTTCCCAACTAAATTAAAAAAAGGCAAGTACAGAGATAAGTAAGCAGGTTGCTTAATGGAGAAAAATGGAATTATTAAACAATAAACATTTCCTTGAAGAGATCAAACTAATCAGTACAGAGGCATGCAGATCTTTTAAGTTCTCCCTGTTGCCAAAGGTTTCCCACAGTCAGATAGGAAAAAATCTGGAGAAACATAAGCTAGACAAAACCAAAGTAGATGGATAACTAATTGGAAAAGTATGCATCAAGATTTACTTAATGGTTTCCTGTCAAAAATGTAAGAACATTGAGTGTGGTTCCAGAGAGGCCTGTCCTGGGTTCACTTCTACTCAGTATTTTCAGTAATTGCCTGGGTAATGGAATAGAGAACTTGCTTATTAAATCTGCACAAGACACTAAGAGTTACATACTGGAGAACAAGACTAGAATGCAGAAAGATTCTGGCAAATTGAAGTAATAGCCTGAAAAGTACAGGAGGATGCAGCAAGACAGCTACCAAGTTTACTCTTCAGAAATAATCAACTTCATAATTACAGAATGAGGAGCTAAGTATCTATTCCTCAGGGAGGAGCTGGAGATTGCCATGAACTACAAAGCAGAAATGAGCATCTCACACAGCAATGCAGCAGCAGAGACACTGGGATATATAAAGAGCTGTTTCACACATGCATGACACCAAAGCAGTCCCAACACTTGACTCACAGCTGGGAAGATCCCACCTGGCACACAGCCTAGATTCCAGCACTGCACTCTAATGCCATCAGGGAGCCCCTGCACACCAAGGTGGTGACAGAAGTAAGGCAAGATCCACTTCCCATGTTTACGGCACAGTTACACACTGAAAGTGCAGGCAGATCAAATCACAGCCTTTGCTACCAGAAAGGCCATTTACTGTGTCCCCCCTGAGTAACAGCAAATATCTGGGAGAGATTTCTGTGTGGATTCTCCAAGAGTGAAGGTTAAATCCTATCTGAAGACCGAAGAGACTGTTCTTGTCTCGTGACAAGTGCATGAAGTAGCTCTCACTTCCCTCCTTTGCTCAGATTGTTCAGGTACAACAGGCAATTCCTCTCGCTCTCAAAATCAGTCCAGTCATCACATTTTAGTGCCCCAAAGAATAAGGGTAGCAGCACTAAGACCAAGCACACTGAAATCCTCATCGTCCTCAGAACAATCTCAGCACTTCAGCTCTGACCTGCAATACAGCAGGGAAATGTTCCTCACCTGCAGTCTGCTGAACTGCATTTCCAGCCCACAAATCAGCAGCAGTTAAAACGCAACAAATCCTTCTCACTGAACCATCCCTCTCCAGAGAGCATTTCTGTGCCTGCCAGAGGGATATCTGTCACAAATGAGGCAGAGAAGGAGTTCCCCAAGCACTCCATCACACAGTGGTATGTGCTGCAGAGATTTCATGGGGTTTGTTTTTCTCCTGCATTGTATCCAAGGTATCAAGGAATGGCTAAACATTCAGAAGTATCTCCAGCTCTTCACAGTGGTGGATTTCAATGTCTTCTCTCCTATTTATTTGTTTTATAGTCCAAGAAGAAACACTGCAATACTGGCAGCAGCCAGGCCCTGCCAAGTTATTGCAAACTGGAGTGAAAACTGATCAGCCATAGAGCAAAAAAGCTGATCTCTGCAAGCAAAGCATGTGTTAGGTGAAGAAAATCACTGCTAATGGAGAGCACCATGACTCAGTCTGCCATGAAGCACAACCTGAGAGAAAGCAGAGAAAAACAACCAAGCAGCTCATCAAATCTCAGCACAGAATAAGCTGCCTCATGACACAGAGAGAAACTCCAGATCCCAAGGCATAAGCAAAGATCAGTGTTACCACAACAGTTCCCTGTGTTGAGGCTGTTTTGGGTGTTAAGGAGAAGCAAAGTCTCCACACACTGAGTAAGATGGATTTACCAACTTGAGAACAAAACCAATAATGGTTTCTTCTCCTGCAATCCCTCCTCCAGTGGAAATATCTTAACCTCCCCTGCATGCATGAACATCGTTCTCAACCAAGACCTGCTAAAGAGCATTTTGATACCCAGCTCACCAAGCTAATGAAATTTAAAAAAAAACCAACCAAAACAACCAAAAATTCTTCCTTTCCCCTTCCTCACCCTCACCTCACCCACTGTACTGTTCATATTTTTGTGTTCATGCCCCAGAAATGGCATTAGGACTGGAAGCCTGACAGCTCTTTCTGCCAAGTGTGGCTGCACCTTTTCAAGCAGGGAACTTTAATCTAACAAACTGTCAGCGACGAGCCCACGTACTGACAGAACTCAAGAGGCTGCCCAGCACAGAATACACAGAAAGCCACTTTGCTGATGATGAATGGCTATTGAACCTGCTTGAAAAAGGACAGACAGGTCCTTAGCTCAGCTTTAGTCACACTCTCCTCCCTGCCAGGGCAACTTCTGTGGAGGCTGGAACAACTGAAGAGATTCCAGCAAAGTCTGTGGATCCTTTCCCCAAGCCAGAGTTACCTTTGCTATTCTTGACTTGTATTGTATTCCTGAGAGCTACAAGGACTTACAAAGAGAGGATTTGTGCCTTGTGTTGCTTCTGTGCAGACACCTAATTTGCAGATTTCTCTTGAAACGTTCCAGATTTCCAATGTCCTTAACAATATTTGCATTTACTGACAGACCGAGATTTGTATCATTTGCAATGCATGAAAACAGACCCAAACTAGAGAGCTGCACTTAAAATGTCCTAATTTTTTTAAATGGAAGACAAACAAGCCTGGAAAAGAGGTTTGATAACCTCACAGTTTTCCCCTCTGTTGGCTCACAGAAATGTAGAATCTAAAGGAACTGAATGCTTCTGTTTTAGAGAGCCTGATTTTAAACAAAAACCCTCTGGAAGAGGAAAATAACAATAAAAATGACATAGCAGAACACCATGAAGTTCGCAGGTTTTTTGTTTCTGCCATAGCCTGTAAAGACAAGTGGGTATTTATCACATGAAAGACAAAACACTCATGCAGTGGTTAGTCAGGACACTGACAGATGCTTAGTCACCTGCTCAAATAAACCCACGTATCTTTTCCCCCCCACAGAAACAACATTTAATATTTATGAAGACAAAAACAAGACCAGCAAGACCAAATCAATGAGAAATTTAATACACATCCATAGCAGTGCTTCACCTGTCTCAGAATGTGTATAAACTCTATTTTTCAAATATCTACAAAAGTAACCTTCCTGATGGAGCTGGGGAAGGGAGAACCAGATACAGATTATACCCTGCCAAGTGCCCAAATGGAAAAAAACTTCTGGTGAATCAGATCAGAAAATTCAAGCAAGGCTAAGGGGAACAACCCACAAGGTGCAACAGTGGAAACTCCCAAAGCAAAGAGCAAAATGCCTTAGTAGGAAAAGGCTTACAAGGAATTCTAACCCTTGAGTTTTTAGCAACGTCTATCTCATGATGAGATGTAAATCACTGAATTACTTCATTAAACTTTCTCCAGCTCATTTCTGTCACATTCTTCTAAATTTAGCAACTTCTCAATTGACTAAAATCACTGTATTTGAAAGGTGTCCTATTATTAGTCCTAGCAAAACCCCCACAAGCAAAAATTCATTAAGCACGTAATACAAAATTGAAATTCGCTCTAACAGACAAAAAGGGAAAGAGCTTGTTTTGGTACAATCACAAATCCTGCCAGTTCAGACAGTGACTTCCTGATGTGAATGCTTTTTTATGAAACAGCTTCCAAACTGAGACCAGTTTCTTACATAAACCATTTAAACACATGTAAGTGATAGTGATTTTAAGGTCACTACCCACTAGTTGGATTCCACTTGCAAAAATGACAGATTTCCTAGACCCGAAGCAAAAATAGCTAAGCATTTAAAAAGATCTTTGTTACTAGCCATATTTGTGAGAAGTTAAACTCCTTACATGACATTTCAGCCAGGATTCTATGATTCAAACCTCCTTGTAGCAGTTTTCGAATAAGATTAATTTCTTTTTGAGCTACCTATGACAGCAAACACATTTCGACTTTTTTTGCCTCTGTAATAAAAACAGTGTTGATTTATTTCACCCAGGTAAAGGAGATTTGCCAAACTGGAAAAACTCTTAGGAACAGGCTTCTGAGCCTGTACATGAACTGCAATTATGCATCAAACCTGTAACTACCAAAGGATTAGGTCAGCTCTGCTCCTGTTAAGGCAGCAGACTCTGGGGCACATAAAGCTGCATCCAACACCCCTGGCAGGCTGGATTTCTTAGGGCATTTTTAATTACACATTCAAAAATGCCACTCAATTTTTTTAAGTCCTCAGAAAACCACTGCAAAGAAAATGACAGGGACTTAACCTGAGCCCTGCTGTATAATTTTTCCAGACTAGCTCAGGTCCTGAAGCATTTGTGGTGCTTCGTGGTTTCACAGCAGGGAATAAACCAGGGAAGATATTGATAAAAATCCATCTCCTTGGCTCCATGTTGCTTAAAATAAATTTTTGCAAAGCTATGTGCTGAACACCAAGGCAGAAGGGACTTTACACCCTGTTCATCTATTTATTATTATTTTTATACATTTATTATTATTTACATTCCGCAAATTGGTGGGTCATTTTTGTTGTTCACTTGAGTTATTTTAAATATGAAGCATTAATGAAGAACTGTAAAACTTATTCATGTTCCATGATCTAAATTAAAATTAAAAGCTTTCTTACTTCACATTTTCACAGGCATCTTTTTGCCCCATGAAAAGCTTTACCAGCTTTTTCCACACTACTGCAATATCCAGGTCAGAGGCTCCTGGGCACACCACCAATCTCTTTACACACACCAACCCAGACACCTCCCCTTTAAACGTGGGCAGATCCTCATCTTTGTCACAGAAGGATTTGGAGAGATTAAAGTAAATAGTTTTAAACAGTACTTTTCTCAAATCAAGTGAAGAGGTAAATAAAGGGGAGAGGGGTTCTTACACAGCTTCCATCTCCAAGTCATCCTCATCATCTTGAGAGAGCTGTAGGTAAGGGTTGTCTGATGCTGGACGGAACTTGTACCCAGTGAGGACAAAGAACACCAGCGTGGCCATTTCATCCAGCAGCTGCAAGTGAAAACAAGAGACTGAAGTTCAGTCCTGCTATGCTCTGTGGTCACCAAACATTGCTCCTCATTCAGAAGGTTCAAGGTTTAATGGCCAAGAGGCCTGGGCCACAGAAGAAATAAAACAATTCCTGTCTGGTTGTCATTAATCCCAGGCTAAAGGCTGTCAAATCCTTTGTTCTTTCAGTTTTTCCTGTCACTTTAAATAGAGTTACAGCTCTATCCATCTCTCCAGAGCTTTCAAAGAACTATGGCAAGACTTGGCTTTTAAATGGTGGGGGAAGGAATCGTCCTTACCTTGCTTAGTTTTTTCAACAGTTAATGTATTCCAAGGACTCCCGGCACAGTTACTTGGATTATGTGTTAAGAAACCAAGTATTTAGAAGTCCATAGGCAAAAGAAGCCTGTGGATGGAAGAGCAAAAGCCTATTTCCCTGGCTCCCTCGGGCTTCAATTACATAGAGCAAACCTGAGTAATTTTTTCTCCTTTGTATCTTCTTGATTAATTTCCTTCAGACATTTTTAAATTGAAAGACTGAAAATCAATAATGCAATTACTTTCAGACATCTCATGTATAATCCAGCAGCCTTGCTGGACAAACATAAAACTAAGAATATATTCTTTCACCTTAAGCACATCAGTGATAAAATCAAGAGGAGGCAGGGTACTGCACTGTGCTTTGACATGTTTTAGTACAACATGAGGAACATTTCATGGCATTCTGTTGTGTAGTTATATCTAAAGAATAATAGAGAAAAACATCAAGAAATTGATGTATTTTCCTTTGCTGGCAAATACCTGGTACAGCCATTTCCACTGGAATGGAACAGCAATCTTTATGAGAATTGCAATGATCCGTGTGAAGTAAATGTAACACACAATCTGGGAAGGAAAAGGAGAAAGCATGAGAACAATAGCACCATCCTTATAGAACCTTCTTACCCCAGAGAAATAGCTCAAGCAATTCCCAGACAACTCATTATGTCAGACTAGCCTTATTATGCTCCTTAAACATGGAAGATATAGGCTGAGGACTCTACTGCTTGTTGAACACCAATAACTCAAACTACTGGTAACATACTCAAGTTACAGCAGGAAATGCTTTAAGTATTACAATTTCATAGAATTTCAAGAATCACAAGTGTAATTTATTACTCTTGCCACTTAGGAGAGCCTGAAATGAGGCCGTTGGAAATCATTAAGAAGCCTGTGTTCTCCTGGGAAACGTACTCATGGCTCCCACTGACTTAATCAGGAACTGCACACATGCATCTCCAGGCACCATTTGGTCCCAAGTTTAATTTTTAGCAAGTTTACAGTATGTTATTCAAGCCCATCAATTCAACTGGCAGCTCAAGCTGTCTCCAGAGGAAATCAGGAAGCATTACAAATAGCTGGAATTTGAAGAGAGACAGAAGGATATAACCATTAGGAGAAAAAAGGAAGTTGCTTTTAGGATGATAAGCCAGTTGACCAAGATGCCAAAGCACAGCAGTGCCAAGAGCCTCTACCACATCCATCAGCTGCAGTAGTTTCCAATAAGTATTCCATCAAAAGCTTTGAAAAGCTTCCAAGTTCCCCACATGCATGTGTGCAGGTGTTTTACTTACCATGACATAGTAATGTCTGAAGAGCTTCAGCTTTGCTAGGTTAATGGCAGCTATCAAGAGAACACAAAAGTCCATCAGAAAATTGTTAACATGAGACAATTTCTTTTGATGCCTGTCTGCAGAGTAGGCAAGTGGTCAAAACCAGGACTCAGGTAATCCCAGGCTAGAAGGATTTCTGTCAGGAGTGCCAGCCTGGCATGTGCACATACAGGATAACTCCCAGGCTGGAGTGAATTCACTCTCAAAAAGGGAACTGAGACTGTTTTTGCAGTCTCTAAATTTTATATGCACACACTCTGCATTACAGAACCTTCTTCTACCTGTGTACAGCCAACTACATTCTGTCACTCTCTCCTGCCAGAAGGGCCATTCCACCTGACACTGCCTCCTAGAAAATTCCTGTCTTTTCTAGAGCCCTCTCTGACCTGCTCCATGCCTACAGCCGAGCTGAACAATTTGCAGGTAATCACAGCTCTGGGATCCACTGCACCTTGCTGGACAGCAGCCCAAGCACTTGAAAACCTAAGCAAGGTCCTCTATCATGGCTCAGGCACAACTCACAAGTGAGGCAGGAAATCATCCCCAGCAGCTCCCCAAATGTGCCAGCCCAGGCCTGGGGCAAACCTGCTCTTATTGCACACATCACATCAGCTGGAGAGCACAGAGCACTCGTGTGAACCAGCTGAGGTCAACAACAGATGGAGCAGCTGTCAGCTCTGGTCTGGGAGTCCGCTTTTAGATGTGCAGCAGGATTACAAACACAGGCCACTGATGCTTTTGTGACAACATGAGAGGCAAAGAGTCCAAGATCTGTTGACAGCATACAGAGATGCAGTTCAGAGCCAATGAACATGAGCTGCCAGTTAAAAAATACTGCCACATATTTACTGGTATTCCCTCCAAGTCCTCATAATGTATTTATCAGATGTGGAAGTGCAATACATCGAGCTGAAGTTCACCTGCACCCCCTCACAGAACTCACCCACTGCAATGATTTATAAAAGGCTGCATATATTTGCATGTAAGGTCTTCCAGGTTCACAAGACAGCAAAATACAGTATTTCAGATGAGGGAAAGGAGAGCTAATAGCTCCCAAAGAAATGCTTCACCTCCTCTGACAACAAAGCAGCTTTTCTTATGCAAAGGAAGTGTCAAATGCACCACTGCAAATAAATTCCTGTAGGTTCCCACTACAGAAACTACAGTGAAGACAGACAGCATTCTGTTATTAAACTACTTTTATAATCTGAAGATCAAGTGTCCCTTTCCAGTTTACCTTTAGTGTTCCTGGGGTACTACTGAAAGCTACAGACACCTCAGCCAGATACAAACCCTCCTCCAGCAGACACTCTAAGAGCTGCAACCTGACGAACACAAGGCATGAACTGACTGATGATCTGAAGTTAAAAGCTTTTCCTAATAGAGTTGGTGAAAGATGAAAGCATGTGAATATGCATGATAAGTGCAGTGAATTGTGAAACAGGAAAGCAATATTGTCCTATTTAAAGAAGAGCCGCATTAAGTGTGACCATGAAGATCTTGTGATTTCCCACACACCGGTTTGCACACAGAAGGATCTATTTTGAACTCAACACGTCCAACTTCAAGAACTGCCACCAGTTGGTGCACTGACAGGCCAGGAGAATTACCAGGCTTTGTAGCTGAAGGAACACCAACTCAACAGCTGTGATTCAAACTGCCGGTCTATCAGCGCTTCACAGTCAACACCAGTGAGCTGGGGAGTCATTTCTGCTGGATTCATGCACTGCACAGGATGGAAGGACAGCAAAGCCAAAGATCTGACTGCCAAATGAAGTGTCGTAATTCCACCTCTCCCAGTTAGAGATGGAGCACAGCTCAACATCTCAGCTATTCATCATGATAATCAATAGCAAAGAGTCATAAATTGATACATTCACATATCCAGAATGTCTGAGCATGGGAAGGAAGGGCAAGGAGAGGAAAAAAAGACAGCCACCACCAAGGAGAAAGGCTGAGGAGGCACCTGTGGAAGCTGACTTGCTCTCCTCAACTGCAGCAATATTTCTCTCCACTATCAGATACGTAAGTCAGCATTAATGCATGTCTACAAAATTCTGCCAGTTTTTTTTTAAACAACTCAAAGTTACAGGACACACTGTTCTGGAGAAAAATCTAAAATCATCATTGCTTGGCATCAGCAGCTTGTGAATTGCTTCTTCACAGGCTGAATGTGCTCCAAGCAGTATTATTTGAATCTTGCTATCATGGACACTCCAAGATTTCTGTTCACCTCAGCCTGGCAGCCCAGACAGCGACAGCAGCATTTACAAGGAGCAAGGCTCAGCCAGCAGCTGTCACTTACAACTTGAATCACTTGCAACCCGAACCTGTAAGGCTGTGATAACACAGCAGCAATCACAGCAAGCAGTAAAGGTTGGGTAAATTTGTATTTCGAGTATGATAATCATTCTGCAAAGGACAGTACTTAACTGCAGAGAAAGGAAAAAAAAAAATTTAAAAAGAGACCTTCCACCAAAGGTTTTAGAAATTAATTCATGCTCTTTCAAACAGTAATTAGAAAGATAAAAGCCATCCTCCACGGAAGATTTATAACATCTATACCTTGCTTCCCTCAGTTTTCCCTCTCTATCACCATTTACTTTAACAGCTTGTGCCTGCAATAGCCTGATCTGCCTCGATCAAAACAGAGCAGGCCCCAGTGTTTTGATAAGCAGTCTCTTTTTGAGATTGTCCCCATGCTAATTTCCAATGTTGAGGCTGTCTATAAGATGGAAAAAGAAGCTGGACCATCCACTTGCACACCACACAATAGCCTTTTGATGAATAAATCCAACCTTTTCAGTATATGTATGTAATAACAATCACAGGATTGCAGCTGAGGATGCAGGAAGCTTGAGCCCAGACAATACAATCCATAAAGAAAAAACATAATGCAGCCTGTGAACGTGCTCAAGGTACAGCTGAGAGTAATTTCTTCAATGTTTGGCTTGCCCTGCTCACGCTGATGCATTTGAGATGTGATTTCTGCCATTATCAAACTGTAAATGGAAGCTTTCTGCTCTCTCCCAATGATGCAGCACATGTAGATCTAACCCTCAAAAAAGCAACTCTGAGAAGTGTGGCTCTACAGCCGGAGCTCTCTGCTTAAAAGCATTCCTGTACTAGAAAGAAGAGGTCAGACAGACAGAGCAAGGCTCAATGTCACCAAGAAGAAGGTGGCACAGACTCATTAATCTTGAATGTCCTGAACCACATCAGCCATTTGGCACAGAAGTGCTTCACCAGGGTCAGATGAAAGTCCAAAGTACAGGATAAGCACTGTATCTCCAGCACAGAGGTGCCACATCAACCCTGGACAGCTCTCAGGGGCACCTGGAAGGGGTGCTGAGCCCAGCCAAGCACAGGCTGCTCTGCACCACACAGGACCAGGCCCTTTGCTCACAGCATTTTCATGGCACAGCAGCAGGAAGACACTGAATACTGCAAATGGTTTTTGCTGACATGAGGGCAAGCATGACAGCATTAATCATCATTTGCCCACTGCACAGAGCACAGGGAATGAATGATGCCTGGGAGCAACAGGCTGCCATGTACTTCCCCTAATTCTGCTGCCAACTCTAAATGCAGTGCTCCAGGAAAACAGCAACCCCTGATCCGACTGTGCCGTGTCACATCTGTCATCACAAACACACAGGTGCCAGCAGAACAAACTGCTTTCCATCCCCATTCCTCCCTCAATCAACAGGGGATGTGATCACAAGGGTGTGCTATGAGACTTGAGAGGTCCGGTGACCAAAAACTCGGAGTTTCAAACAAAAATGTTGTACAAATAATATATATACTCCCTCTCCTTTCTCGAGATGCCTGTAAAAAAGGTGGTGGCACTTGAGCAGCTTTGCAGGCTGAACAATTCTAGGTCAGTTTGCAAGGCTGATTTCCTTAAATCTACAAGACATTTGCAATGCAGATCTACAAATGGACAGAGAGCAAAGGCTCCCAGCTGAAGGAAGATACAGTGACAGATCAAAGGTGCAGCTAAGCACTTGCTTAAATCTGAAGGTGGCGATTTTAAAAGGGGAGGAAAAAAGATTCTAAAAATGGGATGTTTACGCCCACTGCTGTGCAAGATAAGAAGCCTGTGTAGGTCAGATATACTGCTTTAAAGATCACCTTCAAGGGAAAAAAGCAAACAACCAGGCAGCTCAAACTCAGCTGTAGCACTGTGCCCTGCCTACTCTTCACTAGTGATCCACAGCATCTGGGTATGTACGGTCTCCCTGGATCATTATGGCTTTAGACCCATTTCTCCAGCTTTCCCACTTTGCTTTTCTTTTAAAATATCTAATCTAGTTTAAAAAACTATTAGCTAATGACTCCAAATCAGTGCCACTTATAACAGGCTTTTTTATTAATTGTATGTTGTTAAAACAAAGGCCTATGACAAGCCCAGGCTAAAGGCCTGGTAAATCCAAATCTGCTTTGTTCCTAATCCAGTCACACTCCAGTCATGACTGCCACCTGACCCAGGAGAATGCTACCTAATAAACAGGTGGAGAAACACCTGGAAGAGAGCATGAGAAACAATCAGGAAACAACACCTGGATACTGAGCCATAAAATCCTGGAGTTGTTAGTACTAACAGATGCAAGGAAGAAAAAAGAATTTTCCTTAGGTCTTTGTCACCAGCAAGGACATCACCAGAAGACTCAGTGCCAGGAAAAACAGCTATTGAATGTCTAGTATGTAATTCCCCAAAACATCCTATAAGTTAATGAAGTCTGTGTGAGAGAAGAGGGAAAGCAGCCCTTGACTAGAAAATAAATCCCAGCAGGCCAGAAGCAGCCAGCTAGCAGTATCTGCACACAATCCAGCCAGCTCTACCCATGAGCTGACACTTAATCTGCATAATGAGGAAATCCAGTAATTTTTACTACTTCATGAGAAAACTGTCTTTAACTGCAGGGGGAAAAAAATGCTCACGATTTAATAGTAAGCAATGGTTTTACTTTTTACTCCCATGAGAAGCTGAAACATCGAGCAGCCCCTCAGAAGAACAAGGCCTCCAAAGGAAGCTTACAGAGCATGTGGTTCTAGTGAAGAGAATTCATTGATAAGCTTAATATGAATGATTTCACTTTTTTACAGTGCAACCAAATCACTTTTGGTTTTCTCAGCCAGACACACTAGCAGCATGACAGCACTGGGTAGAATTCTGCTTCTGGCATCACACTGCCATTCACTTGCTCCCCGTGGGCTCCTATCAGCAGCCTCTAAATAGCCCAACCAGATTGTGTTTCACAAGTGAGTTCCAGCACTGCAGCCACAATCTGCTCTCAGCCTGTGCAATGTTTTCCCTGAAAATCTATTCCTTAGTTATTCTTTTATTATCAGTGTAGCATAACATAGTTGCTAAGTCCCCCTGAATACACAGTTACTGAACTTGCAGGATCTGCACAACCAGATGGCAACACCAGTAGGTAAAGCTGGCAACAGCAGTAGGTGATTCACAAGCAACATTCAGGATAAAGAGCATCATCGTTCATGGAGAAGAGCACAAAACACAGGACTAAACCAGACCTTAAGTGCTGCTGTGCATAGCACTGACTAGCTGTAAAAACACAGCCAGTTCCTCTCAAATTACCATTTTTTTCCTTCCACATTTTTTACACAGGGCATTCTATAGAACTGCCTAGATTTACTCAGATCTGGATTTCACCTGATATGAGGGACAGTGGACAGGCTGAGCCGATCTGAACATCCCTGCTATGGCCACCTCACCACTTCTCAGCATGTCTGAGGTTTATCAAACTCCACAGCACCATCTTGTGATAACAACCAAAGTAGGTACAGAGGGATCACATGGGGCCACACAGATCTGAAGGGTTTCTGTCTTAATTATGTGCATTAATTGCTGTATGCTCACCACCAGGACAGACAGATCCATGGGCACCCAGCTAAGAACCAGGCCTGACATGTGTGAAGTCCTTGGTTCAGAAGAAAAGACTGCTTCAAGGAAATCTGAACTTATCAGGACTTTTTAAAGGTAAGAGCATAAATACTCCAGAATATATGTTCAGTGGACAAGGTAAAAAATCCATCAGTAAATGTCACTGAACCCAACTGAATACACTGATAAGAAAGCTTCCAGTAACATTTATATTACACTTTGATAGCTACCCTTTTTAACATTTGTTTCTATCAGAAATTAGTAATTTTCCACCATTAGGTTTGGGGTAGGTAACTTGTAGGATTGTTGTTTGGTGGCTTTTTTAACAGCTTGGAACACCAAGATAGCATGCTTGACTCATCATAAATATTGTTTAAATTTAACAGATGGCAAAAAATGAACTAATCTATGGTCTGCACAGAGCTAAGTTCAGTACCCAGCCTTACATTTCACCTACAATCAGCAGTGAAGTGCAGAAATGCCTGTGAAAGCCAAGGAAAAGCTGGAAGAAGTATCCAGACCTGGCTACAGAATTCCAGAAAGGAGAGCCAAGAGTTGAAGGATGGGACTGAAGTTAAAAGGCTGTTGCCAACAAATGACCTTCTACAAATGAAGCTTTGAAGAGTAAACCACTGAATGACAGAAGATGGAAAAAGCTGCCTGCTTCCAAGGAAGCCAGTGCTGTGCTCCACAGCTTGTATCCAAGGAACTAATCCAGAAGAAATGAGCAGATAAGGCAGGAAAAGCACACTCTACAGCAGCCATGTTTGGCCTTTCCATCCATCAGCTCCTTTTCAGTGCTACAATAAACATAACTCCGCTTTCCACAGGCAGCCTTGGAGCTGCTGCACAAACATGGACAAGTCAGGAACTGTGCTACACTGAATGCCAAGTTATGTTTTGTTTCATAATGAGGTTTATTTCCCTCTGTTCTGTCAGGAATACATTTCTGCAGAAATGAAATAAGTGGGTCTATTTGGGTTAATAGTTGGCAATTCTGGAATTCATTTCTAGTTCTGTTTCTGAACACTCAAGTGAGGAAAAAATGGCAAATCTGTCAAGATGATTTGCTCTAGATGTCATGTCTAGCTTGAGCACCGAGTGCTGTGCAAGTAGCAGAGAACAGGTTATACACTGCAGTTCTGATAATTAAAGCAATACAAGAAAATGGTCATTTTCCAAGAGTTACTCCCATGAGCCCACTGAGAAAAAGCAGAGGGGCACTAATACAGTGTAAATGTATAGCCTTAGTTTGCTTTTTACATCAGCATCAGATGTTTGAAATTCTGGCATTATAACATGTAGCACAAAAGAGGAAAAAGACTACAGATTACTTGCCTTTCCCATCTGTTGCTGAAGCCTCTTGCAAATGTCTTATCGACCTGAAAAATAAAGAATAGGTTAATGACAGGTTTTACACTCCCTTTTCACAGCAGTCCTCTAGACCACTGACAAGTTTTGTTAGCTTTTTATGGCTGGAGTATGCTCATAATTAACTGTGCTTGGCACTGCACACACTTCACCCTCATGCCCCCAGCTCAGGCAGTCAGCTCAAGTACCTCTCTTTCCTTGGGATTAGGAAAGCAGATTGCTAAAACCTACTTCAGCCTACAGAAGGCTTTGTGGGAGGGAGGGAACAGAGTGAGAAACTGGGGCATTTTCCAGCATAATGCTTTCCACTTGTACAATTAAGCTGAGCTACTCTTCAGAGTGCTGCCAAGCGTTTGGCATCTTACTGCTCTTTTAAGGTCTTTTCATTAAATAGTTGATTACAGCTTACATATCTACATAGGCAACTTATGTAACAGAAACTACCCTGCAGGAATGTAAATTCAGGGGCCAAGTCTTAGTCACCTTGCTCACATGAGTCATCCCACCAGCTGCAGTGACACTATCCAGAGGAAAAAGAGGCAGGATTTTGTGTCAGGGGCTTCACTGCCAGTTTATGTTGGCACCATGGCAATGCAGGAACACTGGTTGCAAACCATAAACAGTCACAAGACAGCTCACATTTCTTCTTCAGATACAATTCCTTTATGGAAATAAGTTTTGAAGCAACACCTCACTAGGCTGGGCATACAGATCCCAGCATCAGGTAGCAAGAACTGTGACTGCAGAAGCCACCTTTGTCATAATGAGAGATTGAGTCCCTCTGCAATTGAAGTTATTATCCCTCAGCTTTTATTTACCATTGCCAAATGCTCCTCAACCTCAGAGCTGAAGCATTTTGACTGGAGCAAGGGGAAGGACAAGTGGGTAGTGCAAATCTCTTGGAAGAGATCTCCCAGCCTTGGCAGAAGGCCACCAGGAGTGTGTAGGGGAAAAGAAGGCCAGCTGAAACCCACCTTCACAAGTCAAGCTGAAGCTTATTTCCATCTACTGAGCCACACCTCTGAAAAACTCAAGAGTTACACTCTAGAGCAATGACATGCTACCAGACATTTATATAATCTGCATTTCAGAAAAAAAATAATGGAGATGCTGGAGAAAAAGAGGAATATTCTGTGTTTACTAAGCAAGGAGCCAGAAGCTCCTTGATATCCTCCTTTAAACCCAGCTGTTTATCCAATTAAGACAAAATGCATTTAGAAGATAAATGTTCTGGCTAACTGGCAAGCAGCAACAATAGTGTTTATCTGAATTATCTGTGTTTTGGTTGAGTTTTATATAACCAACATTACTCCCTGCCAAGTAGAGTGGAAGGAAGGGCGGGGAAATGCTCCCTGTGGGATTATTTCTTATAAACAGTCAAATAAACATGCAGCTACTCTGCTTAAAGGCAGCCCTGATCTTAGACAGCAGTACTGTTTTGAAATTTAGCAGTCAAGTATCTCATCTCAGTCAGTGAAGTCAAATCCCATTTTTCAACTTAGAGTCAACACTTGTGCAAAATTCCAAGTCTCAAAAGCACCTACAGTCTGCACAGTGTTAGAACATTTAAACTGCCACCCACCTTCCCTTATCCCCACTCTAACATCCCCAAAAGGAGCATCTTCCACAGGACTAGACTGAAATGTTAAGGCTGATATAAAAGTTAACAGAATGCTTGACTCCACAGGACCACAGAGCTCTTTTGCTTTGGCAGAGCTGTCAAGGTCCTTTCATTCACACATTTTCACATCCAGCAACTCACCATACCACTGGGAACAGGATGGCTCCACAGCACAGCAAGTCCACCAGGAAAAGGATTTCTTTCCACAGTCCATACTCAGTTGTCCCCTCCTCTGTTGACTCTATGATAATGTAGGCCACGTTTGCCAGTACCTACACAACAAGACATGGTTCTGGTTTAGAGACTGCCCAAGGAGCCACTACAGGTGGGCTGCCAATTCAGAAAAAGCCAGCCAGTAACATCAGTAATTTTCCTGCAGCTCTACATCCAGAAGTCACATGTTCAGCAGCATCTTCATAAGATTTACAGAAATAAAACTGATGGGAACTTATTCCTGCTGACATTCAGAAAGTAGTTATTTAGCTATATACTGTGCTTAATCTACTGCATCAATTGAGAAAAAAAAAGGCAAAATTTACTTATTGAAACATAGACACAGGACTGTGTGGCACATACAGCCAATAGAGAAAATATGTAATTCTAAATTAAGCCAGTAATTCAGACTGGCCATTTACCATCTTTTGTACTCCACACCTGAGCTCTGTAAGAGCCTCAAACACTAATTATTATATATATTTCTGCTAAGGGCTTGCATCTGGAAAGGCAGAAAATCTCTTCTACAGAAAACAACAAACAAAAGTGCTGTTCTCTTATGTACTTCAGCTCGTCAAGTAGGAGACCAGCACTGAGCACTCTGAACCACTGGGAATATTTCCCTGAGACCCAACAGACCTACAAGTCTTGTTTTTCCCATTTTTTATTTAATTAAGACATTCAAGCAAGCAAGTATTTCAGCAGTGACAACTTTAATTCATTTCCTCTACTTATTCAGCACTGAATTTCCAGCCCAAGTTTTGTCCCACTCCTTATAGCCAGTTTTTATTTGCTGAAACTGCTTGATCACTATTATCTTATGCTCAATATGGGAGAAAAATTGGGAGAACTACAGTAACTTCTGTACTAGGAAATAGCCAATAGGCTCATATAAGCAAGAACTACATGGTACTGTGTGAAGCTTTCACAGCCTTTTCCAGTTTGCACAAGCAGCTCTCCCACAAGACAGGAAGTATGAGCACAGCTCAGTCCTCACCTGAAGTGGGATGACAATCATGAAAATTTTTTTATCTTTATCTGACAGGATGTGTTTAATGAAAGCCCAGCCTGTGCCAATGAGGGCAATAGTGATGAACAGAAGAGCTCCCTTCAGTCTGGAAGAGAAACAGACACTGCAGTGAGAGACTATTTTATTTTATCACACTTCCTCTTCTGCCCAGGTTTCTCCCACTGCCAATAAAGCCACAAACCCAAACAAATGCTTCCCTACCCATAATTTTGGCAAGCACTCATCCATCCCACAATAGTGAAGCAGATGTACTCACTACAACTCTATATCACAGAGCAATATTAGGCTTCATTCACAATATATGCAATCTTTTCCTGGGGGAGTCATCCATTCACCATTGTGAACAGCAGCAAACACTGACAGCTGTATCCACTTACCATTCACACCAGGAGCAAATTAGATACTTGAATATTAGTGTGAACAAAGAAAAGTAAAGCATTTGTTATCCTTTTACTCCTCCACCCACAGAAGTGCCAATTCTCTGCAGCTGCCCTCTGTAAGTGGAGCTTTCCCCTTCACACAGGGCTGATTGCTGAGTCTTTTGTTCTCATGCAGACCACAGTACCAAGATTTCCCACTCTGTACAGGAGGGAGACAGCCCCAGGGGCAATTTGAATCTATCACATCACATCAATCTTCTTCAATACTTACAGGTGAGTGATGTAATAAACAACAGCCCAGCCTTCGATGGGGAATCCCTGAGAAGAGATGTAGTGATAGTCGATCTGGAAGCAGAAAATACAGCACATTACAAGCTGCTTTTGACACCCCACCCTCTAAAAACAGGTCTGCTCCACATCCACTGCCAGTTTCACTTTCCAGTCAGTGTGTACAAACCCAGCCCTGTCACATTCAGAGAGCACTTCCCCCCAAAACATTCTACTTTTGTTTAGCAACAATGAGATCATTTCCATTTGCTCTATTTCCTAAGTGCTAGTGGATGTATCTTGTACAATCTACATCCTTCCCACACAACTCCCCTGCTTAACTACAGTGAAACAACTGCAGTTGGAACCTATTTTTTAATTCATTTTTCAGGTTCAGTTGCTTTAGGTGACTAGAGGCTTGCTAGTTTCATTTTCACTGGAAGCCAGCTTCACTTCATTAGACTCCAAAAATATTTGTAGCAGGTGTAATACCATGGGCATGAAGGTGAAGATCATGGCTGGCACAAACACTGAAGGATTAAATGCTTGCCATTACCTTTGTTCATGAGATATTTGCAGTGGAAAGTCAATACAATATAGAGACATTATCTATGGAAAGTCTCAGAGCTGATAAGGTGAGGTCTGCTGCCATACACCATAACACCTCCTTGCCTTTGAATTTTACAAACAAGGTTTTCATTTATTAATATTTACTGCCAGTCCTGGAGCTGAAGCAGCAGCACAGCTCAAGCTTTCAGGCCCACTGCAGATGGCCAAAACATTGAAATTTGTGGAATTCATTCAACCTCCAACCCTTGCTGCTTCAACACTTCAGGCCATGATCTCAATTGTATAAAAAGTCAGAATTTGCTGATGAAAACAAACACTTCCACCAAAGAACTGCAGTTCAATTCTAATGCTTCAGTATTAAGACCAGTTCTCCCTCCCACTGTGCTCCCTCCAAAGCAGATTTCCCTAACAGCATGTCCTAGGTTCCACGTTTCCACTTTCTAGCTGAACAACTTCAGGCAGAGATGTTGTACGCACCGCGTGGAAGACTAAAGACAAGGATTTGGTGAAAGGAAGGGCTGCCATGAGCCAGTGGATCTTAAAGACATCATTTCTGGCAAGAAAAAAACAAGAAGAAAGAGCATTACTTAGAAGCCAGCAGTAAAAATTTCCGTTTCCAAGGATATTTCTTTAAAACCTCTAAGTGTTAAGCAGTTGCCTCCAGGCTGAGCTGACCATCAGTGTGAAGATACCCCTTAATGTTGCAGTCCAAGTTTCTGCCACATCCTGAGCAGTATTTCAACTTCATGTTCTAAACCCCTGATTTTTACTGCTTGGGATAATTGAAATTATTAACTAATAAGAACATCCCACATATATCTATATATATAAATATTTATCTCTTAACTGTTAGAAAATTTGCTAAACATAATTCAAACCACAACCAAGATATTTATTGCTCTCTACTGCCATAAGTTGCAATTTCCCAAATGAATGATGAATTTTTTTTCATTATTTATTTTCAAAGGCATCTCTTTTTGACATCAACTACAGGAACTTCCTATCTATGTTTTGCCACAATATGTACACTACCTGAAGAACTTTCAACATAAGATTTGGGAATTTTAGGATGACAGCCTGCAACAACAATACTGACTGAAACAGTTTTCAAATATAAACTATGTGTATTAAGCATACAAATCTGAGCCAAATTTGGAGTTTGAGGTGATCAAATCTGACCGTGAATTGGGCATTACAAGAAGAGGAATGAAAAATAAAAACCAAGGTAGCCCCCTACTTGTCACAGACACTGAACTTACCTGCGTTTACGAAGTATGTGGATCCATACAGTCCCAGACAGGAAAAAGAAGAGAGCCATGGAAATGTAAAGTTTTGGCAGAGGGATTTCACCTGCTGAGAGGTAGCTTTCAGGATTCTTTTCCGTAATATCTATCTGAATATTAAAGGTGTGTTACATGCACAGTTGGAAAAGAAATCATTTTGTCAAAGCACTGAGTTAACAATTACATTTCGCAATCAAATCCACTCATTTAACATGAGCTTTTCTGAAGGGGTGACTTATGAGTCTCAAAGAAAAAAAATAAAACCTACTCTTCATCCTCAAGATTCTCAAAACATTTTGCAAAACTATTCCCACCAGAATAATCCCCTTGGAAAACAATGCTTCAGTTATGCAACATAATTCAGAAAGGTAATTTTCCCAAAGAATAGTTGTTCTCTCCAGCAAATGTCACAATTTGCCCACCTTTGATTCAGAAACAACATCTACAATGGGCTGCCACCCTATTTTCCTGTGACTGAGAAAGCAGAAGCATTATTTAGCATTCTATTTATACCCCTAAGTGGCTTAGTCATATGTGCTAGGACTTCAATAAAATAAAGCATTGAGTCTGAAGTACTGAAGCTGTCCTGCGTCTCTAAGTACACCCCAGCAGATCAATTATGCACATTTTGTTCTCTTTCCTATTTCTTCAGTGGGTCAAAGTGACCCACACAGCAATTCAGGAAAGCTGGTCTTCTAAACCTGTAACTTCAGAAGCAGCTCTGAAGTAGTCTGAGTCAAATTAGGGCTGCTAAGTTTTAATCACCTCTGCGCTCCCTTGCAATAGCATTAACACAAACATGTAAAAAGCACTTTAGGGATTGATGTGGCTGAGGTACCTCAGCCAGTGAGAGGATTCATACCAGACCAGCTCATTATACACCAGCATGAGCACAGGAAAGGAAAAAAAGGGAAAACCCAAGCTCTGATAACAACCAAAACCACATAGGGCCAAACCCTTGTACATCAAAAGAGACGAGGCATTTGCTAGAACATATTGCCTTTAGGATGTGTATCTAACACCATAAAAACACATCTTTAATTAGGCCAGAAAAAGCAAAAACACTGAATTCAAATACCAACAATTTACATTGCAGCAACAGCCTTAATATCTGCAATCACGTAAAGAGAAAAATGACTTTTGAGTGTAGCAAAACACAAGCAGCTGTTGTAGCTCCCATCTCACTACAGCATCAGGTCACAACTGTGTAGACTGAACCCAGCCCACATTCAGCCTTCAGATTTTCAGGCATTTCTGCAAAAACAGTATTTTAATTATTTTTACAGTAGTCACTTCTTTCAGAAATGCCACTGCAGAGGCTGGCACACAACTGTGAATCACTTCCCACCCCATATGTGCACTCATGTGCAGCGTGTGCTTGGTTACAAGTTGGAGCTGGAAGCTGGATGTTGCAGTCTAAGCTAACAAGTTAATTATCCTTTAGAAGCCATACTCACATCAAGACTAAACAGCAGCTGATCATTAGCTGGCCCTTTCTTGCCAACACACTTATGGAAATACAGGCTGTAGAGACCCTCTTGTTTATCCGAGCTGATGTTAAAAAAGAACTGAAAATAAGGAATAGAGAAGTCAGCATTCTTCTCATTCACAACAGGGTTGCCCTGGTAGGAAGTCATCTCTACTGAAGCATGAAAGAAGTCAGTCATTTGAGGTCAGTTGGTTCCCTTCAGCAGACAGTTCTGAGGATAGCAGCACATGTGGAAGTTTCAACAGAACTCCAGATGCAAAATCATTGCACCTATCTAGGATTATGCACTCTGGTAATCCAAGCCTGTTAAGTGTCAGTGCTTAGCTCACCACAGAGAAAAGATAACCACAAGTATCATATATTTGGCATGGCAAAGCATAAAATTTTTATTATACCTGCCCTGCAGCTTTTCAGTTCCTCCCCCAACTATGCAAATTGTGATAGCTCTGGAAATGAGATCTATGTCAGATAAAAGAATTTCAAATGTGTTTGTAGTAACCAACCATCACAAGTGAACCAGGGTGTTCAAACAAAGCATTAATCTGGCTTCATACAGAGGATCTTCCCCTTGATCAGGTCAGGTCACAGCTATTTGTTATCAGCAATCTGCATTACTATCACAGTAAAATTTAATATGCTGAGGCTCATAAACTATGATATTCAGAACAGCATCACAACAAAGCCAACTTAAAAGCAGCTCCCACAACTTGCAAAGAAAGATTTCTATCACTGACGCTTAGCTCAGTAAATTTTCAGGCAAACTCCTGCTATGAGAGAGACATCTATATGCTAGACTTTCACTTTTCCAAAGTAGGACAGTGAAGGAACTGAGTTTAGACACTGGCAGACATCCTACCTGAAACGAAAAAGTTTTTTTGACACGGCGTACAGGATGTTCTTGTTCTACCATGCTCTGGGAAAAGGGAAAGAGACCTTTAGATTTCCTTAAGCAGGTAACTAAAACATTTGGCTACATCAACCAGACAATCAAATTTGCATTCTGTATATTCACAGTGGAAGCTGAGAGCAACAGCAAATACTCTCCAATTTTCTGCTATGATATACTGGAATATCCCCCCAGCTTCTTTGTGAAAGAGAACTCCAAATAGTTTCTTACCTGGGAGGATGTTGTACTTCGTTTGGACTTCTTATCTAGAGATAAAAGTATTAATAGTACATTTAGTGTTTGCATTTAGACATCCTCAGAAACCACCACGTTGTCAATACCTTACTCACATCTTCCTACACTTGTCTGCGTGGCAGTTTCCCAGCTAATCATTGACAGAGATGCTTTCCCAGTCTCTCCTTACTCTCAGAGGACTCTGCCCACAGCCAGCATTCATTCTGAATGCATCCTCAAATGCCAGGATATGATTCTCTAGTCTTACACCTCCTACAAAAGTCTACCCCAGAAATCTTTCCAACCTCTCTGGTCAGAGTGACCAGAGGCAGGTGACCTAAACAGATGCAAGCTACAGTTCTGACTTTTTATGTTATGACTGAGTATTATAAATCTCACTGACAAATCTCAATCTGAGCATTGATAGATGGCCTGACAAACATATGGAAATCCTAATTAACCATGAGGAAAGAATAAATTCACAGCTTTCCACTAAGCTCCCAGTAAAAGTACAAACAACAAAACACAAAAGCACAGGTGACCCACCAGGTCAGCATTTTCTCTGAATTTGAGGTGACAGGAGCCTTCAGTAGAGCAGCATGTCAAGTTCACAGTTTGACTGCACTCCTATAAGAAGCTTTTCAAACATTAGGTCATCCCTTTCTAGGAGGGAGCAAAAGTTCAAGACTTGAGCTTTGCTTTTGGCTCCCACACCTCAGTGCACTGACCACAATCATGCTACACTTTTTACACCAGAGAAAGCAAAACTACAGCTGTCAGATGCATTCTCTCCAGTGCCATCCACCCTTGGTTCTTGACCTGTTACAACAGCTGCCCAAGCTTTTGAATGGTATCACACCTTGTGAATGTGGCAGACCAAGACAGACTCAGACTACTCCAGATCAGACTACTCAGCAGTCTGATCTGGGGTCTAAACTCTGCCAGGAAGGGATAACATGAGCTAATCCCATTAGAGCTGAGATTATAAAATTATTTTGTCTGCTGGTCTGGAAGCCAGACAAAGGCTTGTGCCTCCTAGAAAGATTACTGGTACAATTACTCCTTCTTCCCCATAGTTTCTAAGTGATGGGAGTTCAACTCTTTAGACAGACAGACAGACTCATACAAATGTTGGCTGGAAAGGACTTGTGAAGACAAATCCAACTTCTGACTCAAAGCACACCTGATGTCAACCATATCATGCTGGCCCTGGTTGTACTTTGTCAAGCATTTAAAACCACAAAATATGGAGACTGGATTGCACAAATGATTAGCTACAATATTGGAATACTTATTTAAGAAAGATATCTTATTTATTTTACTTATTTTCTGTCCTAACATCCCATCTGAGACATCCAAGACTTAATAAAGGGAAAGAGACATTGTGTGCCACTACTAAAAATTGCTTGAAACCATTGTCCTCCTAACCTTTCTTCAACTAGTTGTTGGTGGCCATAAAATTCCCCCTTTCGCCTTCTTTTTGCCAGACAAAAACCAACCAAGTTGTTAACCCCTCCTCAGATGCACTGAAGGTCTCCAACTCTCAATGTCTCTCTGATGGATCAACAGGGCTGGTGAACACAAATCACTGAGCAGGAGACTCCAGCCCCACAGCTCTGTGCACAGGTTTGAACAGGAGGTACATTAAGTTCTTGACCCAGGGGACTTCAGAATGTGACCACAACTCAGTGCTGGATGCACAGCAATGAGGAATCAGCAGTGAGAGCACACACAGGTCAGGTTTAGCTGGCTTACCTTTGTCATCTGTATTTTCATTGGTCTTTGGAGGATTTTTATCAGAATCACTGCTCAGTTCAGAAGTTTTTAGGAGCTTGGTATTTAAGGCAGTACCATTTTCCTCAGATACAAATAAAATTTTAGGTAACAAAGAAGCAGCTTCTGAAGAGAACCGTACTTTCACACTAAAGAAACAAAGAGGTTTTATTACAAAATGAAAGTAAACCAACATTTTTAAAGAGGCTATCTGTCACAGCCATATACCCAATAAAGGAAAATCAACTTGACTTGTTTTCTGTACCACACAGAACAGGCAAGAACCAGATCATGACTCACAGCAGAACTGATCAGTGTGGGAAAAGTCACACTCTACCTCTACATGAAATACAAGAACAGATGAAGAAAATTAAGTTTCTTCAGCTTTGGTAAGCAGAGTCTCACTAGAAACTATGTTACCACACATGAACTCTTGCAAAAGAAAGCAATGCAGATTTGAAGGTACTTCCATAATAAAAGATAATTCAAGACAAACAAAATTGCATATTGAGTGCAAAAGGGACTCAAGACATCAAAGCTCATTAAGCTCATTCAGCACAATTAAGGTAGGTTGTTTTTGCCTGCTGTCCCTTTATCCCTCCAATGTGCAGGAAGAATTCTTGGACCATTTTATACTGCAGATGTTTTACACTCACCTCTCAACTGGCATGTAACCCCTTTAAAAAAAAAACCAACCTACGTGCACAGAAGCTTTCCAAGCCCCAAAAAAAAAAATCTCAAGTGTGACATTATCTTCAACTGAGGAAGCAACTTTAAAATGTCTTGCACACTCTTTACTCACACTTCATTTCGGATGTCCAGAAGCAAGATTACAACAGAGACATCTGGCTCTGGAGTTTTCTTCAAGATACAGTAATCCACTTCTTCATCCTGGTAACATGAACAAAACACCTCTTAAGTGCCCTCTGGACATGTTCCACTCCAGACAGAGGTTACCATTCTTAGTCCAGCAATTTGTAAGTCCATCCTGCCCATGTCTAAAGTCCCCCCATCTTTTTTTTTATTTCTTCCAGCCATCCCCAGAGCCAGGTAGACTATGAGACGTCCCACCTTAGAAAAGCAAGCTCACTTCCCTTACTCTTACCAGGTAAGTGGAGAAACCATCATTCCTTGTTCGATCCAAGCTGAATCCCACCTATGAGACAATTGAGAAGAATCTGTCAAATTGAAGCCAAATCACTATGAAAGAGTCAAAGATACTGCTTTCTAAACAAGTTAACCTACATTTAAGGTGGAATTCAGTTATTTTCTTATCAAATTAGGCAGAAAAATACGTTCAAATGTAGCAAACTCATCCATATCCACCAAGAGAAAAGATATCATGATTCAAACCTAAACTAAATCTGGAGTATCTTCTGTCTCTGAACATTTTAACTTATTTCAGTATTATTCCACATGCTTTTACTTGAGGAATACTTTTATAACAATGAAGAAGTGAAACTGTGCAGCAGACGAAGAACTCAGGTCTGTTATCTAATCTCTATTAAAACCCCTAATATAATGTGCTATATAACACATAACATTAGAGTTCTGTTAAAAATAGGACTGTCACTGTTCTGGAAACCTACTGACATAATGATCACAAGATGAATTGCAAAGTAACACGACACAGCGTGAAAAAACTTATCAGAGCACTGTTAGGAAATTGATGTTCAATATAAGTTACAGATGTGTGCATTGAGTTCAGCAGAGGATCCAACAAGTTAAAGGTTCATCCTTACAGCAGAATGGAGAGTGCTCAGGGATAAATCTCAATACACAGATCCTCATAACTGGCTCATGCTGGGAAGCAAAGCCAACAGCATCACAAGTTTGGATTTGACACCTCAGACAAGTGGAGGGCAATTTCACAGGAGGCTTCATAGGAAGGAACTCACTGATAAACTGTCCATGTCATCAGGGCTTGGTTCTGGCTTCAAGGAAAGGCTGCTGACATTCACTCTCATGAAACCATCCTTGAAGAAGCCAAAGGTATTCAGGTGCACTTTCTGCCTCACATCATCCTGTCAGAAAGGAAAGCAAGTTTACAAACACATGCAGAGTCATCTGCTGCAGCAAAGGGGAAGCAGGGTGAGTGATTGACACTTGAATATTCATGCAAAATATTTAATTAGGCAAATAGCAAATTTCTTTAGGATACCTTCAGATGTAACCAACTATTTAACTGGACATAACCAACTTTTCCAATAATGTGAACAGCAAGAACTTTAAAGAGACGCATTTCTGCTAACTGACTGTCTATGCTACTGGGAAATATGCAAGAAAAATTCTGGAATAATTTAAACATCTGGCATCACTGATTAAACAGCATACAGCAAAATTCCCCCAAGTGACTGCAGACACACCAAGACAGCTATTGCTTGAGTGGTGGTTACTGTCATTGCCACAGACTGAAGAGAAAACAGACCTTGGGGATCTTACCTAACCGAGAGCTGGGGTCTGGCCAAGTGTTTAGCAAGGGCATTGTCAACACCTCAGATCATCCGCATTAGGCACAGTCAATGTTTGGACAGGAAAACATTAATACATTGGAAAACTATGTGTGAAAATAAAGTTTTATATATAGCCCCACACCTCCAAATGATTTTTGGCATAAAATAATTAAAAAATAAGAAGAGAATAAATACCAAAACCAGAATTACTTGGGTTAGTTTCTCTAGCAGGAAAAATCTAATTCCTTCCTCTACTCCCAGTTTAGCTGCAGAATAATTTCCTTCCTCTCAAGTCTGGCAAGGAAACCATAGCAATTGATCTCTTCTCATGCCCTGCTCAGCTGATAAAGGTTCAAGTACAGTGAGCTTGAAACTTTTTTTTAAATAAGGAGGCCATGAAGGACCTCACACGAAAAGTAGCTGATGTCACACACAGCTGCCACATCAGATGACAAAAGGTCACATCCAACGTCTGCAGCTGGTCCCTCACACCTACTGGGTCATTGGTAACTGGAAGAAAAGCAGAAACAAAGCAACAGAAATAAAAAAGCAAATTTAAAATGGAATTTCATTTTGTAAGTTGGCAATAAAAAAAAATTGAATAGATGTTTCTTCCTCCTGCTTCTTCTAGGAAAAGATAATCAGATTGCAGAATTCTCTGAAAAGAGAAGTCAGCTGCCAGAGGCACACTGTTCTGGAGACAGTCCTGGAAGACTGAGCTATGAACTGTACAAGTACAAAAAGTTCTCTCTCCCTCTACCCCAGTATTGATTTTGACGCCTCTGCACAAAACGTTCCTGACTCATAAACATCCCTCACTGCAACAGCAGGACACTAATCCTGACACTGCTAACCTGCAATCCAGCTGTAATAAGATCACCCTAATAGAATCAAGTTAACCTGGCAAATAACCAGATGGTTCCACTGATGCTCAGAAGAGGGGAACAAAAGCTAAGTGCCACAGGGCATGCAGCAGATGCTGTGTTTAACAGAGTATTAGAGCCCTGCTGTCTGTGGGTTCTAGGTCAGGGACATGCTTGAACCAGGAGCCCACCTGGTGCCCCTAACACTGCACCCCATGCAACCTCCCAGCCAGTGCAGAAAATTCAAACTGGCTCTTTACAGGGCACATCAGATGTATTTAACTCCGTCTGCACAGAGAAGAATTTGGGTGAGTCTGAGAGGGACACGGTGCCATCCAGACACAAGGTTTTGTACCTTACAAATGTGCCCAGAGGCAGCTGCTCAATTCAGAGCACCTGCAAGAGCTCCTCAGCCCAGCTAAAGTGATTTACTCTGCTAATTTACTGATATGCTCCCCACCACCAGCAGATAATTAATATACAACACACACCACTTTCCTCCCTGGCTTTATCTCAGCTTTGAGTGCTTAGAGTTTACAGATTTAGTTCACAAATCCTTCAGCTTTACATGATCCCACACACACACACTGTCACCAGTTGCCACCAAGCAACAGCAAGAGCATCAATTGCTCCACGTATTGACAGCCTAAAGACATTGGCTTACTAATAGGGTTGAAAGAACCCAGCTTTTATTTATAATCACTCAACTACTGACTGCAGAAATATTTAAGTTTTCAATAAAGGTGTGAACCCATACAAGTGAGTACTTTAGCATCCAAGTTGTTAATACGCACATTAATTTAATTTACATAGGATGCATTTAAAGTTAAGCCTGCCCTACTGAGAAGAGATGATCTGGGATTCATCACTAACAGCCTACAGTCAAACCAATGCCCAAAGTTCTCAAGCTTGTTTCCAGAAAAATCCTCCCCAGTTCTTCCACTCCTGTAGGATAAAAAGTGATCCTGCAATATTTGAATAAGGTTACAGGGAAGCAGAATCCCTGATTTTGTAGCTCAGAATATGCAGAAAAATATTCTCTACCATTTTACCCTAAAGCAAATTGGAATCACACTGTCAGTGCAGTGAAAGTTCCACTAGAGAGTGCTGACCCTTACCTGGAAAGAATCTTCTTATTTGTTTGAGTCTAACAGGAAGGCTTATAATTTGTGTAAGACTGAGTGAATTACTGTGAAAGGTTTGTTCAACCTGAGCTACTGAAGTCTGAAACCTATCAACATTGAAGAGACACAGGTATTTACAAGCAACCACTGAAAACCAGCATCTTCTCTGTAATTCCATATCTGACAGTCCTTTTTGGTCAAGAGAAACATTTCAACTGCAGCTACTTCTGGAATCCTCTGAAAATTGTTTCTGTTGGTTTTCTATAACTTCCAATTTTTGTAGGTTTTTTTTTGTTTGTTTGGGTTTTTTTTTGTTTTTTTTTTTAGAGGTAGGTTTTGTTAGTTGAGGTGTTTTGGGTTTTTTTACATATCTCATTAAACTAATGAAGCTGATAAATTGCTACTAAGGAGGAGTTTCTCTGGCAAGGTCAGTCTAACAGCAAAATTCATGCAAATAATTTCTCTACTGCAAAAAACCCCAACTGTTTTGTACATTTTTATAAAGATAAAATGTTATTTTTAGAACTAGAAACTGCTCAGACTGTGGCTTGTTCTTCTGACAACAAAAAAGCTTCACACTGGCACAGTAATTACAAAGATACAAGAATGAAGCTATTCTGAATTAAGGAATAACAGCTTGTTTGAGGAAATCTAATATCAAACACTCCCACAAAACTGTGGCCTTTAGCTTGGCTCAGTGTCAATGCACACTTGCAAGCAAAGCAGGAGCCACTGGCAAGAACACCAGACAGGAGCTCTCATTGTGAAAGGACTCAGTTGTTGGAGCCTGATGTTTACATAGAGGCTGTAAAGCAGGGGATGAAGGAGGAAGGGAGAGACTGCTCCAACAATAAAGCTCAATTGCTCTAACAATGAAGCTGTTTATAAAGCAGGTGGGCAGAGGCATTAACTCACTGATACTTCTCACAGCAAGTTTGCGCTGAAAGTTGCACAAAACACCTGCAAAACCAAACCCATACCCCACTCTGACAGGAATAAAAACCAAACAGGATTCAGTAATTGATCCAGGCAGTCCCTCATAGGGACTAAAGGCCACAATGTTTGCTGCTGAGAACATTTGCTTGAGGTATATTGGAAAGCTTTCTCCTAAAGGGTAAAGAATCACCTCAGGAGAAATCCTTCAGTGCTCAACTGTTTGTCACAAATTCCTCAAAACAACGATGTAACCAGCACAAGCCTCCTAACTGACTGCTTCAGGAAAAGGTTTACTTCTCCTGCAGTACAACAATATTCGTGTGGTTGCACTCCAAACAACTGCACAGGCTGGAGAATTTCCTACAAGTAAGACATGAACAGCTCCAGCAGTCATTGTACCCCAAAGGCTGCAAAGCCCTGGATTCTCCCTAAACTCCTACAACAGCACAGCAGTGCAGGACCCAGCCATTTACCACTTCATTATCCCTTCCAGTGCTCCTACTGGCAGAATATTGCATGCTGTTGACAACCAAAACAAAATTCCAATCCTGAAGAGCGACAGAGCTTTCCATGAGCTCTGCAGAAGCGTTACGAGGCACCACCGCAGAGCAGAGCCCCTCTGTCCCACAGCTGGGCAGCAGCTCAGGCACAGCACAGCTCGACCTGACCTCCAGCGTTCCCCATCAACAGCCCCGAACAACGAGTTCCTCCCAAATGCAGTCACAGCCTAGCACATCACTCCTTCAAAGCACAGCCGGCAGTCTATAGAACCAAAGCAGAAAGCTGCCAGCATGTTTCCTCAGCCTCTGCTAGCTGCTCGGTTAGGGCACAGCAGCTGCAGCCCAACACCCTTCGGAGCGACCAGGACACTGCAGAAAAAGAATCTCAACCAAAATCCACGTTCAGAAACCTCTCCCTCAGCCCACGTTCGGTCCTCTCTTATCACATCGCTTTTAACGGAACGTGAAGCAGCTGCACCTTCACGCTGCTGCAATTCCGAGACCCCTCCTCTCGCTTCACCCGCGACTGAGAAACAGGCGGCCAAAAAAGCGGGACGGGACTTCGGGGATGCGGGCAGAGGGAGCGGGAGGAGAACGGCAAAAGCAGAACAAGGCGGGGCCCGGGCGGGCTGAGGCGCAGGGGGAGAGCTCAGAGAGAAGCGAATAGAAAGAAGGTTCGGGGCACGCAGCAGAACGAAGAGAGAGACGTGGGGAGAGCAATCCCGGCCCGCGGGAGGTGCGCGGGGCCGGGCCGGCCTCACCGCTCCCCTCAGGGCACCCGGGGGCCGAGCCAGCGGGGCCGGGGGCGGCGCAGACCTTACTTTGAGGGTGAGGTGATGGACGCGGGCGCGGGCCGGGCCCGCGCGGAGCAGCAGCAGCAGCAGCCCCAGCACGGCCCCAGCGCCGCGGGCCGCCATCTTTGTTCCAGCGTCAGCGTCCCCCGCGCGCCACTTCCGGGTCAGGCGAGTCACGTGTCGGGCGGGGCGCGTCACGTGACCGCGGTGGGCGGGGCCGGCTCCTGTCAGGGAGTCATGGAGGGGTTGGGGATGGGAGGAGCTCAGGGCTCAGCCAGCGCCACCCCCTGCCCGGGCAGGGACACCTCCCGCTGCACCAGGGTGCCCCCAAAACCCGTCCAACCCGGCCGTGAACGCTTCCCGGGGAGCAGCCTCACCTTCTCTGAGCGATCTGTGCCAGAGCATCACCACCCTCCCAAGGAAGAATTTCCTCCCAATATTCAGCCCTGAATTTTCCCTTTTTCAACGTGAACCCACTCCCCTTTGTCCTGTCGCTACAGTTTCTGCCGAAGAGTCCCTCTCCGGCTTCTTTAGCCCCTTCAGCTCCTGGCAGATGCTGTGAGGTCTCCACACATCCTTCTCCAGGCTGAGCACCCCCATCTCCCTCAGCCTTTCCCCATGGGGAAAACACTTCCCGCCCTTTTCTCTCCCCCTGAGGTCCTGCCGGGCTCTGCTGGGCTGCCCCTGCCCACGGGCTGCTCCCCACGGTGCCCCCCAGGCCGGATCAGCCCCTCCGTGAGGGCCATGGCAGCAGCCAGGCCGTGCTGGGTCTCTCCTCAGCCCCGGCACCCCCTTGGCTGAGGGGTCCCCCCATGGGTGCTGGGTCCCCCCATGGCCATGGGGCTCAGAGGGGGCCAAAAAAACCCCCCGAGCCTCCCTCAGACCAGCCTCTGTGGGGTGACACCAAAAGAAACAAAAACCCCAAAAAAGATTGAAGCTCTTCCTACCTCAGCCCTGCAGCATCGTCCACAGGGAGATGTGGGATGGTTGTTTACAGGGAGGGGTGAAGTGGCTGTTTCCAGCTCAGCCGTGGATCTACCAGCAAGTTCCAGCTTCTTCCTGGGAGCTATGGCAACAGCAGACGTCTGAACATCAGGTAGTCCAAACAACAGGAAAATTGCCTTTCTATTTAAAGCCAGGGTTAAAGTATTGATTTTGAATATAGCCAGAAAAATATGTAACAAACAAAGGGATTTCTGCTGCTTTACAGGTATTTGTTTTGCACCTATTTAAACTATTTTGTACCTATTTAAACTAGTAGTTGTAGTCACATTTACAAATAAAACAAAAAGCAGATTGGGCCTGGTTTCCATGACTTGTTGCTCAAAATTAGAGTAACACAAGAAGAAAAGTGAACATGAATAAGGGCAATTAAAATGGCTTTTTGGCTGACACATTGCTAAAAAAATATATATAAAAATTGAAAGACTATGCAATGGGAAGCCATCAATGTCAATAAATCTAATTTTTCAGTGAGGAGCCTTATGTTTTCAGCTCCCCAAAACTCAGACATTCTGATTTTCCCTTTCAGTGTGTGGAGTAACAGCTGTACAAGTTCTGTTGTCTAGAGACAGATAAACAACTGGACTGGCAAGTGAGGGTGAAAAGGGAGAGAAAAATCAATGGCCATGACCTTTTATTTCATCAAGATTCTGTAGTATGTCCCATCTTTATTTAGAGAGATGATTCAGATGTCCCTCTACATTTTTTCCCACAATTTCATTTCCTCCTTGTATATTCTTAGGTGAAAAAACAAACAGAGAAATCTCACCAACAGCCAAAGAAACCTGGACTGATACCAGGAAATATCTGGAAGCATGAAAAAAAAAAAATAAATCTGTTTTTCTAGTAATGTTCTTTCTCTGGGCAGTACGTATGTGTGCCACTAGATGTCCTGGCAGCATCAGCCCTTGCACCACACGGACCTGCAAACATCGGATGATTTATTCTAAAGAACTCCGGTTAGACATTTTCTTGGAATTTGGGTGATGGAGTTGCTGGGGGGGGGGGGGGTGGGGGGTTTTTTTTTTTTTTTTTTTTTTTTTTTTTGGTTTTTGTGGGGGGGGGGGGGGGGGGGGGGGTTTGGTGGTTTTTTTGGTTTTTTTTTTTGTTTGTTTGGTTGGTTGGTTTGTTTTAATATTGTAATTATTATAATCCCTGTGCATGGATCGCCTCGGAAATCTGGGGAATTTTGACTCCTGAGAAACAGCTGCTTGCAACCACAGCTGCAGCACAGCTTGTCGTGCCGATAACAAATATCAGGAGCACTTTGACTGCTTGAGTGGGCAAGAAATTCGCTTCTAATTCTGAGATTTGGTTCACCTGCAAAGCCTTTTTTAGGCTGAGAATGCTTCCTTTGGGAGCTCCCTTCAGAACCTTCCTTCAGAAGAAAAATCATCTTTAGCCTGAGGATGATTCCTAGCAATCAGGGATTTGTATGCAACAGAAAGGAAATTTTCTGAAGATCTCTTTTTTCCCCAATGTTTCTTCACCAACTATTAGGATATTGTAGTACCTGTAAGTTCCCCAATTACCTATACAAAATGAACCAAAAATAGGATTTATAACATGTTTACTTGCTTTGGCTATGCATTTTTCTAAGAATTTGTATGTTAAAAGATGTCTGTATTTAAAGTTACATCTCTATCAAAACAGAAAGCAGCTTCTGACTGTCATTAATAAGTTGTAACAATAATTTTCATTGTGACGTCAATTTGTTTCATTGTACCTTCCACACAAGATCCCTTTGCTGCAATTCTGCTCTTCCCAGTACATGCTGTTATTCTTAGCCTAGGTATCTTTATTCTTTACTCCTTAATTGTAATTAATCAAATAATTAGAACTCATCACAGAATGTGGTTTTTTTTTTTTTTTAAGTGTATTATGGAGAATTATTGACGTTGGATGGAAGGTATCAGCAGTGTCAGGAAATCACGATGGAGGAACAGCCTGCAGGTACAGCTCAGCACAGAATGAGTCAGATTGCCATTTCATGGTAAATTTATAACATCTTTTGTGAGCCAGGGCACAGGTGTGGAGTGGGGAGGTGAGCAAGATAACACAGAGCCAGGGCAGGAGCCGCTCAGGATCCAGTCCCACAGTCCTGGGGAAAGAGGGAAGAGCAGGCCCAGGGGTCAGAGCTGGAGGCAGCCAAAATCGAGGCGATCTGCTGAGTTCACAGCAATGAGACAGGAGGAAGGCTGAGTTGGGAAGTCCATCTACAGTTTGGGTGATGGTAACCGAGGTCAGTCATGGTCTGATGATGGCCCACAGGAACAAGGCAGTCTAAGGTGAGGTCAGATGTGAGCTAGGCTCTATATAGCAACAGGATCTACAGCCAGGCACAGCCTGAGCTGGAACTAGAACCCCCCCTTAAAACACAGGACAAAGCTACTGAGCTTTCAGCCAGAGCTTAAATGCAGCCCCTGGATCCGCCGGCAGAGGCCCCAGGTGAGGCTGGCCAGGGCCATTAGCGTTTATCAGGTGTTTATCAGGTTTTGATCAGGCCCCTCTGGGCCCTGATGGGGCATTAAAGAGCACCGCGGGTCCCCTGTTGTGTGTCTGAGTGATCGGAGTAATGTTGTAACAGCGGAGAGGAAACAGCTGTGATGATGATGATGATGATGATGGCCTCTGGGAAAGGTGTGTCCCCTTCCTTTCCTGGTGCTGTTTCGGTCCCAGTGTATGAGAGGTTACAAGCAACATCCATGTTCCTTATCTTGGACATGGATAATTCGGGTAGAATTGTAAAATCAAAGGGAAGCAGCTGTAAGGGTGGTAACTCTGGGGGGAAAGGTACATCCTCTTCCTGCTGTTTCCTGGAAGCTGGAAGTGCTTGTCCATGCTCTGAGAGTTGTGATTTTTCTTGCTTTGCATAAGTAAACAAACACAGAGTTTTAGGTTGAACTGCAGTTTAGGGATTTATTTTATCTACTTTACATGGTTTCTCAATCATTTAGGAGTGAACCTGGCTGTTTTCAAGGGGGATTGGGGTTTCCTAAACAAAGTTCTGGCTTTCTAAAAATGGAATTGCTTCTAGCTGGGTTTTGGAGCTGAATCTGGGAGTGTTCTGAATCATAACAACAGGGGAGATAAACAGAGAATTTACAGGAATAGGCCCATATCTGGATAGCAGATCTGCATGGTCTTGTTCTCAGCCTGACTGAGGGAAAATTCCTACCCAGCTACTGTTGCTCAGATATGGATTGTGCAAACTCAGTGGAGAAGTGCTAGATAATCTAACTTCTAAGTGTAATTTTCAGTTATTTTTTGAGACTGGAACGCACTGAGCTTTCCAGCATCAACTTTGGCATAAAGGGCTCTTAATGCTCCTGTCATTGCTAATTACATTATTAATTAGGGACCAGCCAAGCTGCTGTTTTGGGCCCTGCTGTTTTGGGCACTGCACAACTGAAAGTAATAATGTAAGTGGCAGTCCCTGCCTTGGAGAGTCTGAGGCTAAACAATAAAAGCAGTCAAAAATAGGGGAAAATCCTGTTCTTGCAACATCTAGAAGTAACTTTTTTTTTAGTTTTTGACTTGAGTCTCTGTCCACAGAAATTTTGATAACTTGTAATAATTTTTGGTATGGTTTATTCTAATGTACCATCAAAATACAAAACTTGTATTTCTGGCCTTTATCTCCCTGGAACTGGTGGAGCATTTCTATCTCTCGGTGTGGACTGGTTTCCCTGCCCATGCTGGTGTAACAGGTTTGCCCTGTTCCCCTCCCAGCTCTTTGTGCAAAAGGAAATTCCACACAAACTTAGCTCAGATGATACCAGTGCTGCTTTCTGTTCCTGTACATTCTTTTTCTGCGAGTATTTATAGGTTAAGCTCTCAAAAAGTGGTGATGGAAGAGCGCTGTCTGGTTTTGCAGTGTGTCCTGGGTGGATGTAGGGCTAAAGATGGTGGTCTGGGAGCCTGTGGAAGTACAGGCCCTTGGAAGACTGTGGTTGTGCTTCAGGCAGCAGGGCAGGCTTGGATATTCAAATATGTTGGCAGTAGAAGGAAGAACTATTCTAAAATGAGCTGAACAGGGTGTCTCTTAGTTGTTATGAAGCCAGCCCTTTAAAGTAATAACTTTTAATGATGAACAAAAGCACAGCCTGTTGTGTCTCTTCAAAGACAGCTGTGTGAGGAGCTGCACTCTCCTCTCTTGTTCAAATCAATGGAACTCGGATAAAAATAAATGCAATTCTGTTATTAACATTTGTCTTCATTGTTGTTCAAAATGTTGGAATTGCTTAATGTGTTTTTCTTCCTCATGTAGGGTAAGAGCCAAGCATCAGTGGAAGAAGTGCATTAATCCAGGGGAGATAATGCTTCTTGTAGCAGCTGGTCAATTTCTCTCTTCTCACATCAAAAGCATCCCCACCCTTTTTGAGCAGAAGCCTTTTACCTCAGGTGAATTAATGTGCTTCCCTTTTTTATTTCCCCCACAAAAATCTCTCATGAATAGATACAGCAATAAATATATTGGTCTAAAGCTCTTTTAACATTTGTTGTAGCTGAAAAGCAGAAATGCAAAGTGAGACTAAGTGACAGAGGATCACAAAATAAATATTTTTCTGGCAAGGAAATGAGCCATTTTCTGCAAGGCCTGTGTAATTGCTACAATAACCCACATTTATGCAAAGGCAGATAATTTGGTTATTTTCCTGCTTGCTTGCTGAGCATTTTGGTGACAGATGGTGGATTTAATATTCTTGGATTTGGGTTATTTTGGGGGTGAGGGTTGTATATACTGCTTAGCTGAGTTAGAAGTCAGGCCTTGCAGTGAGTTCACAGAATTAATTCAGTTGGAAAAGACCTGTGAGGTCATTGAGTCCAACCTGTGACCAATCCCCACCCTGTCAGCCCGACCATGGCACTGAGTGCCACACCCCATTTTTTCTTGAACACCTCCAGGGATGGTGACTCCACCAGCTCTCTGGGCAGCCCATGACAATATTTAATCACCCTTTCTATGAAGAAATTCCTCCTGATGTCCAACCTGAACCACACGACACAGCTTCAAGGGTTCTAAGGCTGTAGGATTTCTTCTTTTCTAGGGCCCTCTCTTCTTTTACAAATGACCAAAACAGGAACATTTGTTTCAAAACCAGCCTCACCTGGCTCGGGGGGAGGGTGGTAAGAGGCAGAGAAGGGCACCTGAGGGTGGGTGGGGCTGGAATCACCACCTGTGTACCTGGCACAGGTGAGGCACCTCAAACACTGCATGCAATTTTGGTTCCCTCACTTGAAAAAGGACATTGAGGTCCTGGAGTGTATCCAGTGAAGGGACTTCTAAAACTCGTGTAAGTTTTAGAAAGCACAGAATCGTACCATAGTTAGGGTTGGAAGGGACCTCTAAAGGCCATCCAGTCCAACCCCTGCAGTAAGAAGGGACCTCTTCAACCATCCCAAACTGCTGAGCCCTGTCCAACCTGGCTACAAATGTTTCCAAGGATGAGCATCCACCACTTCTCTGGGCAATCTGTACCACTGCTGGTAATTCTGTGAGCAGAACGGGGAGAGCCTCCTCCCTCCACGTGGCACCCACTGCTTAGAAACCCCCTCTTTCGATTGACCCCCGTGCTCCTCCACTGATGGCCATTCCCTGGAGACCCACATTCCTTATGCATCCACTGCCCACTGATGGCCATTCCCCAGGGACCCACATTCCTCACTGATCCACTGCCCATTGATGGCCATTCCCCAGGGACCCACATTCCTCACGCATCCACTGCCCACTGACGCCTGTTCCCCATTGACCCCTCCTCCATTGATGGCCATTCCCCGGAGACCCGCGTTCCTCATTGATCCCCACTACCTCATTGACGCCTGTTCCCCACTGACCCCGCTACTCCACTGATCCCGTTCCCCAGCCACTGCCGCTCCCCATTGATCCCCGCTCCCCAGCGATCCCCGCTCCCCAGCGATCCCCTCTCCCGCAGCTGCCGTCGTTCCCCACTGACTGCTGCTCCCCACTGATCCCCTTTTCTCCATGGCCCCGCTCGTCGCTGATCCCCTTTTCCCGCTGATTCCTGTCCCCCGCCGATCCCCTTTCCCCGTAGATTCTTGCTCCCCACTGACCCCCTTTCCCTGTCGATCCACGGATCCCCTTTCCCCACGGCCCCGCTCCCCTCGCGGCCGGGCCGCGCCTGCGCTCCTCCGGCGGGGCCGCCCCCCCGCGCCAGCCGCGGCGGCTCCGCGCCTGCGCAGCCCGGAGCTGTCAGTGCCCCCCCCCGCCCCGCGCCGCCCGGGCCATTTTGCGGCGCGATGAGGCGGGAGCGGCGGTGAGCAGCGCCCGTCCCGCCCGCTCCGCTCGCACCGCCGGGCACGGCCCTCCCGAGGGCGAGCAGGCACAGCCAGGGGACAGCGACACCCCCAGCGCCCCCCGCCCGCCCCTCAGCGCCGGCGGAGCCATGAGCTGGGGCACGGAGCTGTGGGTGAGTGCGGGCGCGGGGGGAGCGGGGCTGCGGGAGCCGCACCGGGGCATAACGGTCCGTGCCGGGGCCGCTGAGGGGAGCCGGGTGCGCTCCGCGCCGGCACCTCGGCGCTGCTCAGCCCGGGGGGCTCCCCGCTCCGGAAAGTTTCATGTGCAGCCTCTGCAGGGAAATCCCAGCGGAGGTTCAGGAGTTTGATTTAATTTTGCCGAAGGAATTAATTTTTTTTAAAAAAGCTCTGTAGCACAAGGAAAGCGGCGGCGGCTGGGGAGCGGAGGGAGGCTCGCCGCGGAGCGTGGGGTGGGTTTTGTGTGTGGCTGCTGCGGGAGGCTCCGAGGTGGATCTATGGACAGGGGGTCCGGTTTCAGGAGAGGGAGCTGCAGGGAAGAAAAGCCAGATGATAAAATTTCCCGTCGCTGCTGTTAAGGGGCTTCTCTCCACGCTGGATCTGAAGGACGGAGGTTTTTACGAGCAGAGTTTTGTGCTGTGTGTAAATAAAGCAGGTTTTAATGGTGCAGAGGGTTTCAATGTACAAAGCTCCTTGATGCTTTTGAGGAGAGCCTGGAAAGTATAAATGCATTTGGTTTACGGTGGAACGTTAATGGAAAATACCGGACTGTTAAAAGGAAAGAGAAGTGGGCAATAGCGATGTGAAAGGGTCCCTTGCTAGTGAGAAGAAATAAGGGAAGGGAGATGGAAGAGGTCTGGGAAGGCAGAAGAGCTGTTCCACATATTCAATCACAAAGAGGACATGGTGCAGCCATGTTTGATGGTGGAGCATGGAGCAAACCTGCTGGGTCTGGGAGGGCTGGTACCCGCGGACAGCCGGCTCTGGAGCGGCTCTGCCCTGAGGGTGGGACAAGGAACATCTTGGGACAAATGTGTGCTCGGGAGGAGGGAGAAGAGGGAGACGGACCCGCTGTTTGAATGAAGAAGTCAAGAATAAGTGGCAAGGGGTCATCTGGATTGTAAAGCACTGCAGGATTCTCTCCTGTAGTCATGTGTTTGTGGCTACGGCGCGAGTTGGGATGAAAATACAGCTGAGCTTTTGAGCTGCCTCTTGTAGAAATGGTTATTTTAGATGTGCTAATTGCTGTCCTTTCTGGGTGCATTCCTGGCCCGCTCTGGCAGGCAGCTCAGCATCCCGTTGTGCTGTGACATTGGAGTCATGTTTTAGGCAGATCTGGTTAGACCTATGCAGTAAATTAGGGAGCACTTGCTGACTGGGAGAGGTTATTTTGGTGTGGTTTTATATGCCATAGAAAGAAAGGTGATAAATGCTGGTGAAATAGTGTAGTGATGCTATATTGATTCATCAGTATATAAACAGCTCTGCTGCATGGGAATGTTTCTGGGAGGACCTGCAGTTGCCTCCTTTTTCTGCATCTTGGATGCTTTGGGAGGAGACTGAATAGTTAGTGTAGAATTAAAGTAAAAGGCAGCATAATTTGACAATCTTTACACTGGAAAATACACTCTGACGTCTCAAAATATCAACTACTTTTTTTTTTTTTTTTTTTTTTTTTACTCCTAAAACTGCAAGCAATACTGAGGTGTTCCTGAACCAGAATGGTAGTAGAGAGTAGTGCCTATAAATAGTTCTTCTTTTTACATAATATTTGTAGGGGTGTGTGCTGCCATGTACGTCTTCTGCAACAGTTACAAATTGCTGTTGTGCCAGTTTTTAATCTGATAATTTTGTTTCTGAAATTGTCTTCAGCAGCATCAAAGTATCACTTTTTCAAGTCCTCAGTGTAGCACTCTGAGAAATGTAGTAGGTTACTGAGGAAAAGGGTTGGATCAAGAGAATGAATGATTCTAGATGTAAATTTGGCAGGAGTTGTTACATTTTAATTTGGGCAGAGCTCTGAAAACACGTCGGTTTCCAGTGCTCTGGGTATTTAGGCCAAAACTGATTTCTCACTATGTTTTCCCTTCTGCTGGAAAGGAAACCACACAAACAACCTGTATTTAATATATGCCTCTTTCTTTTGTTGATCATGGCATTTCTTTTTTAAACAAAATTAAATTTACATTTACTTTAGGACTCAGTTGTCTTTTTTATTTTTTTTTTTCTTAATGGGTTTTCAGGAGCAGGTGTGGTAAGCAACAAATGTCAGTTTTACATGTGACTCATGTGGTTTGAAGGGCTGAAAGTTGAGGCAAAATCAAGTGTTTTTAACTGTAGTTCAGAAATTTGCTAGAAAAATCAGCAATGTTTGATCAGGCTTGACTTGCACCCTGTATCTCTGATCCACCAGGCTGCATGGGTGTTCATGATTCACCCTTTAAATTTAGCAAAGAAGTAAAATCAGCTTGCTTTTTAGAGCTCATAGAATGTTAATGTTAATGTGCTTGAAGTTATGTAGAGTTTCTGTTCATTCCTTGGGGGAGAAAAAAGCTGGTTGCAGAAAGCCTCCTACTTCAGAAGCAATAAAATCCCTTTGGCAATGTGTGAGTTATTCCCAAAACAGGCTTTTAGCCTTGTGCTGTGATGTGAGTGCATCCTGTGCCTTTGGCTTGCAAATCCTATTGTTAAGTTGCTTCTGATATTTCACTTGATTCTGGACTTTGAGTAACATCTCAAGATTGTTCCTGTGAGTGTAAAAGGACTCATAACCAGCAGAGTTATCAGATGTCCTAATGCAGCATTTATATCCTGCATGGGGGGAATGCTGGGGATAATGAGATCGTCTGGGGCCTCCCAGCAATCCGGTGTTGCAGAACAAAACCTGGAGGTCTCACGTAACCCTGCTTGCAGCTTCTGCCCACCCAAGCCCTGCAGAATTCCTTCCTGCCTGTTATACTCCAAACGTTCAGGAGCTGAGGAGGAGGCAGCGGGTTAAGGACAAAGTGCAGGCACAGCACCAAAACATTTTATTTTTCACCTGAGTTCAAGGGTGCATTAAGGGCTGACAGGTAGGAGGGTGTAGTGCATATTTATTTTGTGTCTGATTCTTGAAACTGGCAGTGTTTTCTAAATACTTAACAAGTGGAAGTGATAAGTAAAGGTTATGTAGGGGTGCACAGACCCGACTTTTACCTTCAGTGCTGCTCTTTGGGGACAACGGGCTGTAAAAGCACACTGAGATCTCCTTCACCTTTTTCCTCTCTTGGCTAATGGGAAAGAACATGGAGCATGGCACCCGCAGGTCTTCTGAAGGGTACTTTAGTGGGTAAAATTCATAAGTGTGTGTCACACTTCCCACCAGTGTCCTTTTGTGTGGTATGAAGCCCTTGAAACAAGTGGGATTACATTGCAGACTGAGCTGAAACCGACCTCAGCACTTCGTGCTTGTCTTCAGGGTAGAAAAAGCTGTGGCTGGTGTATTGAATGGAATGAACTTTCTTGAGTATGACATTTGGTACAGGATGTAGTTTGGGGGAGATTCGTGTAAATTTGTGGTTAGGTAGTCCAGGAAAAATTCTGCCTTTTCAGAACACTGTCACAGCACGTCAGGTTCAGGTGACCAAGTGATTGAATGTGGAAAGTTTTATCTTTTTGTTATGAATGTTTCAGAGGTGCAGACACTGTGGGTTTATTGCTGTGGGGTTTTTTCCACATTCAGTGTAAAATGAAAAAAAAAAAACCAAAACCTGGGGAGGGAGGTGATTTAATCAAGTTTTTCCTTGACCTTTGTGAAAGCTGGGTGGCTGCTAACAGCTGTCACTGTCCTTTCAGCCTGTGAGAAGGTGGATATTCAGTATTTGCACGGGTCTTAATTAGCTGCCAGAATGTGAGGGGCTCTGTTGGCCAACTCCTGACGGAAGTTTCGTGTAAATTTGTGGTTAAGTAGTCCAGGAGAAATTCTGCCTTTTCAGAACGCTGTCACAGCACTTCAGGTTCAGGTGACCAAGTGATTGAATGTGGAAAGTTTTATCTTTTTGTTATGAATGTTTCAGAGGTGCAGACACTGTGGGTTTATTGCTGTGGGGTTTTTTTTCCACATTCAGTGCAAAATGAAAAAAAAACAAACTAAAAACCTGGGGAGGGAGGTGATTTAATCAAGTTTTTCCTTGACCTTTGTGAAAGCTGGGTGGCTGCTAACAGCTGTCACTGTCCTTTCAGCCTGTGAGAAGGTGGATATTCAGTATTTGCACGGGTCTTAATTAGCTGCCAGAATGTGAGGGGCTCTGTTGGCCAACTCCTGACGGAAGCGATACTTTGGGGACCGCACCTTTTGTTTATAGGGTGTTCCAGGATGCTTTACTATGAAAACACATGGTTTGTGGATATGGGGTTTTTTTTTTTTTTGTCTTTTAAAGTTCATTCCACATAGGTGCAACTCTCAGAACTTGAAGGCCCCCTTGCTATTTGTAATTGCTATAGCGTTTCCTCTTTCAGTACTCGTGCCTCTATTTCATCAGCAGAATTTGTGTTTAAACAGCTGTAATCTTGCATTTCTGCAATTTGCTTGAATGCAGCATTGTTCTTCAATAATATTTGCAATGGATGGGTGTTGCATGTGGTGGTGACTCACATTTGGAAACCATCTGGAGTACCTGGGTGATTTTGACCTTGGTGGCATTGCACAGTGCCTGTAATGGGCACAGCAGTCAAATGTGATCTCGGTTGAAAACCCTGTTTTCTTCTGCTTGTAAGAGCATCTGCAGAGCTGGATCTAGGTTTGATGTATTGATCCTTGAGCCAACATCCAGTTTTATTGTATGCAGCCCTGTAGCTGATTGCAGACAATAGAAATTGTGTGTCATCCCACCCATCCCATTCTCACAGTTCCTACAGCCCTCACCCCCCAAACTCTTTGGGGTTGGGTCTTAAGTGTTGCTTTCCAAGACTTAAAAGAAAAGGAGATGGTGTCTGATGGGAAAAGGACACAAGTAATTAGTCTTGCATGATTAGTCACGGGTTAACTCTGATGAGCTGAGAGTTTCCATCATGGGCCTAACCTTCACAGGTGGGTGGGTGAATCATTGGCAACTTCTCCTGTGGTGATGGCAAATGCTCTTCTGAAACGTCTATTTTATTCTAAATTTGCTGTGAA